CATCCATGTCAGCCCACACTTTGCAGGGCCCTGTGGAGTTCGAGGGCCCGTGTTTTCAGAGACCTGGACAGACGGGCCTGTGTTCCAGGCAAACACTAGCTGGGTGGCGAGGCACATGGAATCGCTGTGGGCGTCCATCCTCTCCAGGGTGCAGGCTCGTCTCTCGAAGGCAGCGGCCCCAGAGGGCCGCCCTGTGAACACACCCGAGCCTCAGAGGCCTGCGCCCCATGGAGCCACGGGAAGAAGCCGATGTTTGTCAGGAGGGTCTCTGGCCAGATGCCCGGGAGGCTGTCCTGTTTCTTCCACGACAGACTGACAGCTGCCGGCGTTCTGTTCTCCTCCCTTTGTGGAGAGCCGGGTCGATGGGTCTCCTTGGACCTGGGAAACGTCTGTTTGCTTTTGTTTTTGATCCCAGTGGGCAGACAGTGTGGTGATAGTCTCAGGTGTACGACGTAGTGACCGGACAGTTAGTAGCTGACGGAGTGATCACGTTGGCGAGTCGAGTAGGCCCGGGGCATTCCTGAATTAATCGCAAGGACTTGGTCAGACAACGGTCATAGATCGCAGGCAGGTCTTCCCAGAGTCCAGCTTGAGGACGTCCTTGAGATGGACCCTGTCATGGTCACAGGAGAACGGGAAGGGGCCCTGGCCAGTTTGGTTCAGTGGATGGAGCGTCGGCCCGTGGACTGAAGGGGTCCAGGGTTCGATTTCCGTCACGGGCACGTACCTGGATTGCAGGTTCCCCAGCCCTGGTCAGGGGGTGTGTGCAGGAGGCAACCAATCGATGTGTCTCTCTCACATCGATGTTTCTCTCTGTCTCTCCCCCTCCCTTCCACGCTCTCTACAAATCCATGGGAAAATATCCCTGGGTGAGGACTAACCAAAGAGAATAAAAAAGAGAACGGGAAGGGGCCAAAGAGGAAAGGTGAGTTGGGTATCGTCTGTGGAAAGTTCTTCTCCAAAGTTCTAAAGTGTGTGCTCTGCATGCCCGCAGGACGGGGGCACTGCCCTGCTCGCTGCCAGCCAGTACGGGCACAGGCAGGTGGTGGACACCCTCCTCAAGCACGGCGCCAACGTCCACGACCAGCTCTACGTGAGTGTTTCCGGGGCCTCGCTCACCCTCCTCACACCTGCCCTCAGCCTGAATTTGGAAGCCAGAGCGGCAGTTCCAAGAATAGTTTCATGGACAACAGGCCTTTTATCTGGGACAGCAGGGAACAAAACACACCGTTCACCAGATGACCTTATTCTGTGTAGAAACCACATAATCTTACCCATCTTCGTTTGCCCTTTTAAATCTCTCACATGTGTAGCAGCTCATGTACCTGTGCAATTAGGATCTTCAACAATCACGTGATACGTACTCATTTGTAACGTGACAAGCCCAGCCTATGGACTTGCTGGAAACCAAAACACATTCTGTTGTGGGTTTATTCGGGAACAAGAGCACAAAAAAGGAGAAATCAGGTTATTTGGCCCTGCTGGTGCGGCTCAGTAGTTGAGCGTTGACCTATGAACCAGGAGGTCATGGTTCAAGGTCATGGTTCGATTCCTGGTCAGGACACATGCCCGGATTTCGGGCTCAATTCCCAGTATTGGGCGTGCAGGAGGCAGCTGATCAATGATTCTGTCATCATTGATGCTTCTCTCTCTCTCCCTCTCCCTCCCTCTCTGCAGTCAGGAAAATATATTTTTTTAAAAAGAACTCAGGTTATTTGGAAAAGAGGTGAGGCTGGTGGAGGGAGACCCGGCCCTTTAAAGGCAGCCCCTGCTGTGCTGGTCTGTTGGTGGCTGATGGGCAGTCAGCACATCACCCAGGCACTCGTCAGTGATTGTCACTGTGGTTCCACAGGGTTTGTGGCAAATGTGATTTCAGTTTTGTAGGAAAAAATAAAACTCGGGGAGAGGAAGTGGCTGAGCACGGTCGTGGGGAGTGGAAGGATCCGTATCCCGTGATCTAGGACCACACCTTGGCCTCCCACCACTAGACACCTCGCCCTCATGCCCCGGCACCATGTCCTCTCAGAGACGTGTACTGAGCGTGTGGGTGTGGACTTTTCCATTGGAACACGCTTCCCAGCGTCGGCACGGTTAACTCCCGGCACCGCCACGTGGCTGGACTCGCGGGAAGGGTGCTGTGTGTTTTAACCTGTGGCTGGTGTTCCTGGCGGGAGGGAGGTAGTGAGCTGGGTGAGCGGGTGTTTTCCACCAGGATGTGCGCAGGTTTTCCGCTCGGGATAAAGGGAATGAAGCCGGCCGGCCGCGTGGCTCAGTGGTTGAGCATCCTGTGAACCAGGAGGTCACAGTTTGATTCCTCGTTGGGGCTCCTGCCTGGGTTGTGGGCTCGATCCCCAGTGGGGGGCGTGCAGGAGGCAGCAGATCCATGATTCTCTGTCATCATTGATGTTTCTATCTCCCTCTCCCTGCCTCTCTGAAATAAAAACATATTTTAAAATACAATAAAATAAAAAGGGGGTGGTCTCAGCTCATGTAACAAAAGCAGAAGCAGCCAGTGGAAGTCTGTGCAGGCGAGAAGAGTGGGGGCCTCGAGTCAGGGAAACCTGGACGCTACTTGGCTCGATGTGTCAGCTCTGGGATCGGGACCTCATGGGGTCGGTGTAGACGTTACAGCTCCCCCTCCTGACACTGTCTGTTCTGAACTTGACCTGTCGGTCTGGCTCAGTCTGATCTTTCAGAATCATTCTTCAAAGAATAAAGCGCTAACCATGCATGTGAAAAACGGGGGGTGGCAATGGGAAAATGTATTCAATGCATGCATTTCGAAGGTCATTTCTTTTCAAGTAAATGTGGAAGGTGACCTGCACTTTCTGTTGCTGCCCCTCAGGATGGAGCCACGGCCCTCTTCCTGGCTGCCCAGGGCGGCTACTTGGATGTCACTCGGCTGCTGCTGTCGTCGGGAGCGAGAGTCAACCAGCCGAGGCAGGTAATGTCGGGCGCACGGGGCAGGGGCCGGGGCCAGCTCCTGGCAGCAGTGTTACCTAAGCGGCCGGTCACCTCTGGGTGCCTTTACACCCCTGGCTTCCGGGCACCGTTCATCTGTGGTCAGGGCTTCCCTGTTCTTCGCTCTGGGCTTACCCGGAACCAGGCTGACATCACCGCTGTTTAAACGTGGGTGTTGGTGTCTGAGGTCAGGGACACAGTCTGCCGCCTCCTGTCCAGATAAACTCTGGCGGCTCCGAGGTCGTGAGAGAAGGCTGCCTGGACGCAGGTGGACGGAGGCGACAGGTAGCTGGCCCTGCCCAGGCCCTCACTGGTGCTGCCTTCTCTCCCGCCCTCACTGCTTCCGCCAGCCAGAGAGGGGCCCAGTGCAGCCGCTGGCAGGTCTGCACCCCCATCTCTCACGATTGCAATGCTGTTGGGACTTCATTCGCCAACAGCTGGTAAACCAACTACTTGATTCGTAAAGGAATAGAACTGCCAGGTAATGCAGGCCTCGCTCTAAGGGTGGGGAGACCCATCCAAAGTGAGGCATTGTAACTAGGGCTCTTATACGGGAACTGTCCCCTCACTAATTAACTTGTTTTTAACAAAACACTTCCGGGTGCAGTGATGTGACCTTAAAGGTAGATGTCTAGGCAGTGGTCGGCAAACTGCGGCTCGGCAAACGGCGGCTCGCGAGCCACATGCGGCTCTTTGGCCCCTTGAGTGTGGCTCTTCCACAAAATACCGGCTCTTCCACAAAATACCGACTTCTGCGCATGGGCCACGAAGTTTCAATCGCACTGTACGTGCACGCCCCGCACGTGGTATTTTGTGGAAGAGCGGGGCCAAAGAGCCGCATGTGGCTCTCGAGCCGCGGTTTGCCAACACGGGTCTAGGGGAAAGTCAAGTTGGTTTCTTTGCAGTAAGTGGCGCCGAGATTCCTACCGCGGTGAGACCTGCCTTGACAAAGCCTGTAGGTGCACGTGGTGAAGAGCTATGGGAGCCTTCACGTTGGTCCGAGGTCTCCACTACTGGCTTCTTCCGTCCTGAGAAGTCCAGGTGCATCCGAACCTGAGAAAAGAAAGGGGCTTTGGGCAAAGTGGGTCTGAGGTCAGGATCCCGGTTCCAGCCCCGGCTCTGCGGTAACTGGCTGTGTGGTTTGGACAAGTGAACCGGCCTCTGGGACCTCTCGTCCCTCAGGAGGCTGCAGGGTAGGAGGCTGGGTGGGATGATGCTGATGATCTCTCCAAGCGCCCGGTCTGTTTTTGGTAATTTTTTTTTTAATTGGTTTGAGGGGAGGGGAGGGAAACATCGATGTGATAGAGAAATAGTTGGTTGCCTCTTGCACATGCCCCAACTGGGGATCGAACCCACAACCTGGGTATGTTCCCTAACTGGGAATTGAACCCACCACCTTTTGGTATATGGGATGATGCTCCAACCAACTGAGCCACACCGGCCAGGGCACAAGCTCCCCAATTTTTTATAACTGTTTTATTCAGTGTTCAGTCAGTATTTCTTGAGAACTTAACATGTGCCAGACACTGCTATAAATGTGAGATTATATTTTCGGAATCTTAAAGATATTCTTAGCTTAGATGGCCTGAGGAATATTTCTGGGAAAGGACACTTTTAGAAAAAGTTGCTCTTCCATTTCTGCCAGAATTGACATCTGGGGATTGGAGTTTAATATTTTCTTGTTGGTCCTTCTTATGTTGAAATTGTTGGTTGATTCTGAATCAGAGGCCTGATTTTACTAAATAAAAAGCGTTGGTTACTTTCAGGTTGCAGAGGTCATTACTGAGGGTGCCTGTGAATTTAGAAATGAGAGATGGTCAGGTGTCTCTTTGAACCTCCTTCTAAAATAATTCCTGGTGATTTGACAAACCTATTTGTAAAGTAAATTACATTATTCATACGCCCAAGGCCCCGTTTGTAAAAAGCCCAGTTGGTATAAGGTTGTACTTCGTGTGTCGCGTGGATTGTGTCGTGTGCTGATGGCACGGGAACCCGGGCGTTAGGAGTGACCCCCCGTAGCTGGCAGCCAGGGCTCCCCAGAGGGAGGTGACGGGTCCAGTGGACGACCTCGCTTAAGAGGGGGGGCTGGGGTCAAAGGGCAAGCGACCTGCCCTCCAAGGATTGTGTCCGATGTGACCGGCATTGTGAGTCCCGCTCTGAAAAGAACCGGGTGTTCATAGCCAGGGATTGCTTTGGGGGGGACAGAATTTTCCCTTTTCCTGGGACACGAACCCCAGTCTGCCCCCTGTGCCCCTCGGGTAACCACTGTGCCTGTTTACTACCCGCCGGGAGCTTATAAATGGAAGGTTGTCTGGCCAGGTCAGCTGGCTGCGCCCTGTCTTCCCACCGGGAATGTCCGTCTGTGAGGCTCACAGTTTCTAGGAGGGACGCTGAGGCTCAGCAGGAAAGGGTGGCCTCCACCCCATGGCCGTTGCGATGAGGTGATGGCTGTGAGCGTTACTGCTGTGATGTTACCAGTGACTCCCAGCGGAGCACCTCTCAGCACTTCTCTAAGTATTAGTGTCAATTAACAGCTTTTACTAAAACAAGCCCTTCCAGAGCATCAGAGGCCCCTGACGGCCTTTCCTTGGCTGCCCCCTGGTGGCGACATCCGCAAAGAACAATGGCCCGGAGCCGATAAGGAGGGAGAAGGGCACCAGCAGGGGAGCCCAGACACCCCCTCCTGCCTCCCAGACCCATCCACGCCCCCTCGGGCCCCGCCCACTCCCCTCGGGCCACACCCACTACCCTTGGCCACACCCAGATCCCTCGGGCCCCGCCCATGCCCCTCGGGCCACACCCACGCCCCTGTGGCCATGCCGTCTGGATCGCCCACCTGCCTGACCCAGCCCCTCCTGTCCAGGTCACTGGGACTGGAAATGTTCCGTCTCCATGGGTCCCCTTGTCCCTTCACCCCCCTGACAAAATCCTAGTCCTTCAAGACCCAGCTCGGACACCAACGCCCGCCTGGAAGCTGACCCGTAACCCGCACGTAAGAGGCCCTCCCCTGGTTCAGGGGGCTCTGTGTCCACACTTTATTGGAGCCCTGAGGTCAGACTCAGATTCCGCTGCCTCTCCGCTGGCTTAGCTCCTGTCAGAGCAGGGATCACATCTTATTTTTAAATATGTTTTTATTGATTTCAGAGAGGAAGGGAGAGAGAGGTAGAAACATCAGTGATGGGAGAGAGTCATTGATCGGCTGCCTCCTGCACGCCCCACGCTGGGGATGGAGCCCACAACCCGGGCCTGTGCCCCAACCGGGAATCGAACCGTGAGCTCCTGGTTCATAGTTTGTTCCACGGGGCAGTCACGTCTTATTTTTAGCTCTGGCTGCCGGAGACTCAGAAGATGCTTAATAATTGCCGGGTGGTTGAATGAGGAATGAATGATTCTCCTGAGTTGGGAGAATCCAATTAAATAATGATGGAGAAGCGCTTTGTGAACTGAAAGTACCAATCGAGGATGTGTTCGCATTGATGCACGGTGTGCAGATTGAAGGATGGAGTAGGGCGAGGTGTTTCAGATCCTTCCACCCGTCTCAGCCCCTCTTCCCCACGTCTCTGCAAGAACAGAGGCGCCGTGTCCTCGTACCCAGCACCCTCGGGTCCTCTGGGCTCCGACGTGCCCTCATCCTCCGCCCGCTCCAATGCCGTTGTCCCCGTCCCTTTGCCGGACAGCAGTGGGCGGCAGTCCTGTGCCTGCTGCGAGTAGCAGAGCCGAGTGAAGTCACATCCTCAGCAGAAAACGACCTGTGTGTCCTGTAGCTGAATCATCGTGCTCTCAGCCCTCGGCCCCACGGATGAGTAACTCGGTCTTACCTGACTAGCAGCCTCTTTGGGCCACGTTATCTTAGTTACCTCTGTTTAGGCAGTTCTGGGTCCTCCTCCCTCCTGCCCTTCTCTCCAAAGCAACCTGCATTCTCAGAGGTCAGCGGCCCCCGGCTTTGAGGTGGGGTGTCTCCTCCCTGTGCTGCTTGTCCAGCCGGCTGGTCCCTGAGCATCTGCGCTGGCGACTGAGACACGCTGGTTCCACCACCTACGGCCCTGCCATCCTCTCTGCTGGTGAAATCATGATGCATGTGGCTGCCGTGTGGACGTCGTGTGGAGGCCACATGGCTGCTGTGTGGCTGCTGTGTGACTGCCCGTGTGGACACCGTGTGGATGCTGTGTAGACAGCATGTGGCTGCCATGTGGGATGCTGTGTAGACAGCATGTGGCTGCCGTGTGGACGCTGGACGCTGTGTGGTCCTCTGCCGTGTGGACGCTGTGTGGGGGATCGCATCGCAAAAGATGGGCACAGCGAGGTGGTGAGGGTGATGCTGCTGCGGGGAGCCGACCGCGACGCCGCCCGAGACGTGAGTCTGAGTGAAAAGCTGCACAGCTCGGGGCCAGGGAAATGCACGCACCGTGTGGGGCCCTGGGGGGGTGGGGGTGGTGATGCATGCTGAGGGGGGAGTCCAGGGAAAATGCATGCACGTAGGTCCCGGGGGAGGGGGGTGGTGGTGGTGCATGCACGGTCGGGGGGAGGGGTCCAGGGGAAATGCACGCACCGAGGCCCGAAACCATGGCAGCCTAGACCCAGAGACCACGCGGCTGCATTTGGTCGAACCCAGCTGGGTGGGCTTTCTCCCCACCTCCACCTGCTCTTTAGCGGGAAACTAACAGTGTGAATCTGTTGAAACCTAGTGCTGCTGGGCTCTCCAAGGAAAACAAAACAAGAGCCTGTGTAACTCCTCTGTGATGCTCCCCCACTGAGCAGACTTCCGATGGACGGTGGGGAGGGGGCGTAGGAGCCTGGGCCCCGGCTCCTTGGGGGGGTGTCCCTGGCGGCTGCTCCAGGGGGCACGGCGCCTCCTGCTGGCACTTGCCCCAGTGCAGCTGGCCCGCCCGGCATGGGTGCCTGTGGTTTGGGGTCCCTCAGTGCTCCAGGCGGACCCCCTCGCTCAGCCCCAGCCACAGAGCCCCGGGGTCACCTAACCCCCAGCAGGCCTCGCCCCATCGGAACCAAGGGCGGCTTGCTGCTCGCTTTTTATTTATTTATTTTTTCACAGTGTCTGGCCTCCTTGCCCTTGGCATGGCTCTGCTTATGTGCCCCCCTCTTTCCCAGTCAGACCCCAAAAGAGGAGACAGAGGTGCGCTCTGGCCACTTCATCTCCCCTCTCCCACTGTTCCTCTTCCCACCGACTCTGAAGCCAGAAAAGAACCCCTGTTTTCTCCTGTTCTTTCTTCCCGACTCCGGCTAAGCCTTGGGCGAGGTGGGCGGCCGTCTCCTTTCCACCAGAGGAGGCTGTGAGCGAAACCTCCCAGTGCCGCCATCGATACGCTAAAGCAGGAGGAAAAAGAACGTGGAAAGTCTCTGCTCAAGCCAATAAGTGATGGCAGGAGCGGGGTGTTAATTTCTCAGCTTGTCTTTGCATTCTTTTTAACAGATTTCAGTCTACCCTTCCCTCCTCCACCCTCACCACCCCCCAAACCCCCACCCCCCGCCCACCACCACAGGCAGACAGACACCAGGGCAGAGGAGAGCAAGGCTGCAGGCGAGAAAAGACAAAATGAAAAGCACCTTTAACGCTTGAGAACAGCCAGTACAGTTCAAGGATTGTTTAAGTCGCTGCAAGCAGATCAACAGGGCTGCTCATTCACGAACAACAGAGGTGCCTCTAGTCCATTGTCCCTTACCCAGAGTCCCAAGGGGCTGGAAGAGTGTGAATTCCCACACGGCAGGGCCCTGAGATGACATAAGAAGTCATCGGTTTTGCCCTGACCGGTTTGGCTCAGTGGATAGAGCATCGGCCTGCGGACTCAAGGGTCCCAGGTTCGATCCCGGTCAAGGGCATGTACCTTGGTTGTGGGCACATCCCCAGTGGGGAGTGTGCAGGAGGCAGCTGATCCATTTTTCTCTCTCATCGATGTTTCTGACTCTCTATCCCTCTCTCTTCCTCTCTGTAAAAAATCAATAAAAAAGTATATTTAAAAAAAAAAAAAAAGAAGTCACCGGTTTTGTCTGGTGCCCCTTTAAGCAGACTCGGTGGCTGCGTGTGCGCTAGGAGGCTCCTAGGTTCGGGGCCTGGCAGGGCTGTGCATATTCCGCGTGCTAAGCCCCGGCTCGCTCTGAATGACCCGCTCGTTTTCCTGTCCTGGAAGGATGGCACCACGGCGTTGCTGAAGGCCGCCAACAAGGGCTACCACGACGTCATCGAGGAGCTGCTGAAATTCTCGCCCACCCTTGGCATTTTGAAGGTAAGAAATTGTGCCCGTCTGTAAAAGAAAGGGGTTGGAATGAAGAAGTCTGTTCTTGGCCCGGGCAGCGTGGCTCAGCGGTTGAGCGTTGACCTGTGAACCAGGAGGTCATGATTGGATTCCCAGTCAGAGCACAGGCCCGGGTTGTGGGCTCCATCCCCAGTGTGGGGCGTGCAGGAGGCAGCCGGTCCATGAGTCTCTCTCATCATGGATGTTTCTGTCTCCTTATTTCTCTTCTGCTCTGAAACTAAAAAAAAAAAATTTTTTTTAAAGAAAAGAGCATTGGCAACACTTACACTGACCACCTGCCGTGCACCTGGGCGTACCCTGTGCCAGAGGCTGATGTGACTGGAGAGGGGGCGTAAGGGGGCGTAAGGCCGGCCGAGTGCTGCTGGCTGAGTCACTCCTGACGCCCCGTCTTTCCTCGTAGAACGGGACGTCGGCGCTCCACGCGGCCGTGCTCAGCGGGAACATTAAGACCGTCGCGCTGCTCCTGGAGGCGGGGGCAGACCCAGCCCTGAGAAACAAGGTACGGGCCTGCCTTACTGTCTTTCAGCTCCATCAGGCACCTGTGCAGAGGTGAGGCAGTGTCTGCCGTAACCAAGGTAACGCCCCTCTGGCTCCTGTCGCTCTCTTCGCACTTCCGCCTAGAAATGGCAGGCAGGGTGGTCACTGGGTTGTGGGTGAGCAGTCCCTTTGGACCCAGAGAATTACACTGAACGTATTGATTTCAGAGAGGAAGGGCGAGGGAGAGATAGAAACATCAATGACGAGAGAGAATCATCGATTTGCTGCCTCCTGCACTGGGGATCAATCCCATAACCCAGCTATGTGCCCTTGACTGGGAATCAAACTGGGACCTCCTGGTTCATAGGTCGATGCTCAGCCACGAGCCATGCTGGCCTGGCTGGACCCAGAGAATTACTCTAAAACCCTGTATCGCCCTAACTGGTTTGGCTCAGTGGATAGAGTATCGGCCTGTGGACTGAAAGGTCCCAGGTTCGACTCTGGTCAAGGGCATGTACCTTGGTTGTGGGCACATCCCCAGTAGGGAGTGTGCAGGAGGCAGCTGATCGATGTTTCTCTTTCATCAATGTTTCTAACTCTCTATCCCTCTCCCTTCCTCTCTGTAAAAAATCAATAAAATATATATTTTTAAAAAATAAAAATAAATAAAACCCTGTATTATCAGTGGGTTCAGCTAACAAGGGCGCAGCTCCAGGGGTGGGGAGACAGTGGGGGGGGGGGGGCAGCAGTGTGGGGGCAGGGTTATGAGTGTTCTGTCATCCACGAAGGGCCCTAAAAATGTCAGAGTCTGGTCGTTACCGCCACCCCCGGAGGCTGGATGGTCATATGCTGAGGATTGCTGGCGCTCTGTTTGGTGTCTGCAGGGGGAAATGTCACTTTTATGTTGTTAACAGGACTTCACCGCCCTGTTACAGAACCAACCCATGTCTTTTTACAACTCAAACTCTTTAGTTTGCTGTTAGGCCAAATCTGGAGGTGGAAGATGCGCGGTAGCCATAGGAAAAAAACATGATTGTCGTTGTATTTCCTCTTATCCAACATCTGCATGAGCTGTCCAGTGGGCGGGGTGGGGTGGGGGCAGGAGCCTAGGACGGGTCTTGAAGAAGCACACGACACTGCTAACTTCTGTTTTTTGTTTAAAGATTTTTAAATTTATTTTTAGAGAGAGAAACATCAATGGTTGCCTTGCCCTGACAAGATCGAACCTGCACCCAGGTATGCGCCCTGACTGGGAATCGAACCAGCAGCCTTTTGGTGCCCAGGACGATGCTCAACCAAGGGAGCCACACCAGCCAGGGCTAAACTTTGAAGGAGGAAGTGGGTGTGGCGAAAGCTATTTTTATTTTATACTTTCCTGCCGCTTGAATTTCTATAAGCATCTGCTACTGTGTCTGATTTTATTCATAAGGAAAACAAAAGCAAGGAGCCCGTCATGACACTTTGAAAAGAAACTATCAGGAAGTACAGCTGAACAGCTAAGGGCCTCATTCATTCCAATCCAGGGATCATTTCCTGCTCCTACCACTGACCTGTTTGATGACAATTTACCTCTGCTTATCTCTCCCCGAGATGCTGAGATTAGCTTCCATTGGTGGGCCTGGCGGAGTGATAAGGCAGCTGGAAGCACCGCTCCTGTCTTATCTTTAGACCTTGGACGGGGACATCCAGAAGGGAGTAGTGTCCTCGTGACTAAGCCATCCAGGGCTGAATGAAGGGGGCCGGGGAGCAGTTAGAACCTTTATATAGAAACTGGAAATGCAGTTCTGGGTGTGCCTCCTGGGAGCTCAGGGGGGTGGTTGTGGGGGATTTCCAGTGAGCACAGCACTGGCTTGGGCGCTCCGAGAGCTATGAGTCTACGTGCGGCTGCTCCTGGGGGAGGTTCAGGCGGGCCCTTCGAGGGCACATACCAGTGTTTATGGAGCACAGGCCAGATGCACAGGGCATTGAGCCGGAAACGAGAACACACGACCAAAAAGCATGGGCCCTGGCATCCAGGAGGGCACCGTCTAGTGAGAGGCACGGCGAGGTGGAAAAGTAACCCTAACAAAAAAAATAACCCTGACCGGTGACGTGTTTACGTTCCAGAGAGACCTTTAATGCCTGAACACAACAGAGTCCAGTGGGGTTTTTCACCAGGAAAGAAGCAGGTTCGGGTCCGAGCCCCCTCGTTGGAGTCCCTAAAACCACACCAGCTGTGGGAATCCGCTAATGCCTGTCTTACCTTCTTTCAGGCCAACAAACTTCCAGCAGAACTAACCAAAAATGAGCGAATATTGAGTCTCCTGCGAGGCAAGGAAGGCCACAGGAAGAGCTACCTCAGCTGCATATTTGACTGAAAGGGAGAAACCGTCACCGCATTGCCCACTAGAAACTGCTTTCAGATGGTGTTGGAGATGCTGTAAGGAGACAGTGCCCTGGTTGCCCACCCAGAAGAGCTGTGCCTGGTGCCTGAAGCACAGCGCAGGGACCTCCTCATTCGCACGGCTGCTCACGCGGCCTGCAGCCCACTCCCCGGGGCCTGGCGGGATCTTGGACTCACTTGGGTCTCTCGGTTAAACCCTAATTGTTAAACCTTCCAAGAGCTTTAAGTCAGAAGACAGAGAGACTGTAAGCCTTTAAAAGCCGCAGGTCTGACCTCCGATGAGCTAGTGAACTTTAGCTTTTGTGTTACGTGTACGTGTGCTAAAATGTGTAGCTCCGTGACATTTTACATGTATGCATGTATGTCATCCCAGTGTAAGATGTTTCTCCCACCCAAGGATCATAGCCGTGGTCTCAGAGACCTGACGTGTGAACTTGCGTCACTAAGAAATCAAAGGGGGCTGTTGAACTCAGAGACAAAGTGTTCATGTGTGAGTTGAACCTCCTCTTAGTCCTAACACGCAAAAGCCATGTTTACCCGGAGTCCGTATTGCAGGGAGGGTGGGATGCAAGTGGCAAATTTGGAAATTCAGAAAATTACAGACCGCAGGACTTGAGGATTGTTTTTTGAGCTTTTATTTAGGTTATGTTATCGGGGCCCTGATTCCTGTGCCATTAGCATGCTCTGGAAGCTGGAGCTTCCAACATCACTCTGCTTGGTACAGTGGCTTTGCGGTCCTTGGATACAATATGATATGTGCAAGTACAATACGTCGCTAGCACTATTGCAGGACTGTAAGTAATAAAAGAATGTTGTTAGTGTGTAGTAAGTGTTCCTCTATGCATGTTCTTGAGCTAGTGGGATCCAAGAAGGAAACCTGGGTTTTATGGAACTATTCCTCTGAGAAAGGTGTCAAAACTTATATTCGATGCACTTTACAACCCGTGGTATCTACATGCCTCATTCGGTGCCTACGCGCACAGACATGAGCTGACCCTTCTCTCTGTAACCTGCCGTGATGAACACGGGTATTCTGTGACTTAGAAACACATCTTTCCTTCTCTCGTTCCTGTTCTGCTCTGTGTCCGGCCCGTGTTCTGTGTAAACACATGTTGACACGGAGGGAAATGTGACCTCAGGAGGGTTTTTTAACCAACTTGCAGTGTCACTAAAAGCATTTTCGTTAAGTCAGTAAACAACCGAGTATAATTTTGAAAATGGAAGATATCCTTCTAAAGTTTGTTATGATCAATAACATAACCAACAGATATTAGCTTATTTTGATCATTATCACAAGCAAAGCCAGTACTGAGCAACCTACAGCCTGGCCAGCTCTGCAACACGCCTGCAGTCTCACGTCAGGATAAACAGTTAGAAAGCTTCGCCTGGATTGCTGAACCCCCGTATATTAATATTTTAGTAGCTGCAAAGCAGTGCCAGTTTTACTCAGCAAAGCTGTGCAATTACACATCCCCCCATGAGAATTTCACAAAGCAATATTTATTCTAAAGAAAATAATGTGGCCTTAAATTTTTAATAATTTTTGCCTTAGTTAGAGCCCTAACTTAGAGCCTTAAGCCAAAAATGGTTGCTCATCACTGATCTAAATCAAAAGTTTTATGGGGACTGATAGCAAAGTTCCAAAGGACAAAAATGCAATGAAGTCACAAACTTAATGTTGTTGTTTTTCTCTAAGACATGTTTTCCTTGGCCTATTTATTAGATCATTTTATGTGGATAATGCTCTTGATCAATATCAGGGTCATTAAAATGAATCCAGGAGCTCTAACAATATTTAAGGGAGCCTCTGACTGTAGCTTAGAAGGCTCACACGTGGTCCAGATGAGATGATATTATCCACAGCAGGGAAGATGAACATCTAAATCACTCACCCAAGACTGGAAAAAACAAAACAAAACGTTCTGTTATTTAAAGTTAAATTGCAACCGAGCTTGCAACCTGGGCACGTGCCCTGACCAGGAATCAAACTCTGACCTCCTGGTTCATAGGTTGATAACAGGCAAACGGGTTACTTTTCACTGAATTTACTGGGTGACATTGGTTAATGAAATTATATAGATTTCAGGGGTGCACTTCTAAAAAAATGTTTTTAAAGCTAAATTGCATTTGTTTGCACACAGGAAGATGGTTCTTGTTTTATGTTCATCTAACTCACAGTTCATTGAGCTCTTAGAACTAGCAATTCCTATGCAAGGCATTTGTTTAATTCAATCACAGAAGTTTTTCATTATGTCCATTTGTCTGATGAAATATTTCAGATTATAATTCAAAATAAAGTTAATATACTACCCAGTTTGCCTTTGCTGCTTTTCCCTGTTTGTGTTTAATCAGAGGTATTTCTGTGATTTTAAATAAGATGGAGTTTTAGAATTAATGACTCAGCTCTGTAAGCCTTATGTTACTTATAGACCTATGATTTCATTATTTCTACCGTGGATAACTTTTGTCATGATGCCAGGAGGTTTTTTTATTCAGACAAAAATTCCCGGGAGAGTCACAGAAGATGCTACAAATAGAAACTTCATTGTTTTGCTGCTTTCAGTGTGGGAAGTCGGGGCCGGGGGGCGGGCAGGGGGAGAAGTTGCCGCATGGAGGCAGTAAGGGCGGAGAATACAGACATATTTTTCAAAACAGACAGAGGCAGAGCTAAGGGTAGTTGGTGATTAATTGAACATGGAGAGTGAGGGGAAAGGTGAATTATACTAAGTATGTCGGGAGACCCTAAGACACGCCCCCTCCCAGTTTTGCTGATTGGCTAGGAGGACCCCAGAGCTCATCCTGTGGTCACTCAGGGCCAAGATGACAGCAAAAGGGTGTGTGGCAAGATCAGCGAAGGGGAAGGGAAGTGGCGTGAAGACAGGAAAGCAGTGCAGGCCTCCAAGAGCCTCTCCAGCAGTCATGGGCGAGCGTCCTTGCTCTCCTAACGGGTTGTGACAACACCGTGAAGTGCTGTCCCCGGGGAAGCTCAATGGAGACGCACCAGGCTTTTAATTAAGAACTGGTCACAGGCTCCCTCTGCCTGGCCTTTGCCAAGATCCCAGACGTCCAGGCATCGGCACAGACCACCTTGTTTGTAAACGACTTGGGCTCAGTGAGCCCTTGCCATTCAGGGCAAGTCTGATGTCAGTGCAGGGAACTGTTTGACAGCCGAGCCCCCAGGTGCCAGCCGACAGCCGACCTCGTAGGCAAGAATCTCTAAGGAGAGCAGTCCCAGGTCTGCTGTCAACTCTTCTCCGCACGCGAGATTTCACGGTGCACACGGTGCAGGAACTGGTAGGAAATGGGGAGACAGCAGGGTTCAGGGACACAGAGAGAGTTTGGGACAAGTTCAGTTGAAGAATGTGTGCAAACAGATTCCAGGGGGCAGTTGTCGACAGTGGCTGATGTTTAGAACAAGGTTGCCACTGATCTTTGTAGAGTGATGGGATGAAAGAGGGACGGACACTCTGGTGAGAGAAAGACCGAGGAGGAACTTTGAAGCAAAAAAGGAAGTTAGAGAAACAACGTGAAATGGACAGGAGGGGGAATGGGACTTTCTCCTTCATTTATGAAATGGACAGCAGGCGCGGCTCAGTGGCTGAGGGTCGACCTATGAGCCAGGAGGTCACAGTTCAATTCCCAGTCAGGGCACAGGCCCAGGTTGTAGGCTCCATCCCCAGTGTGGAGCGCGCAGGAGGCAGCTGATGGATGATCCTCTCTCATCATTGATGTTTCTCTCTCCCTCTCCCTCTCCCTTCCTCTCTGAAATCAATAAAAACATGTATTTTTAAATGTGGTCTGGAAATAACTGTCGCTGTGACGGGTAGAACTGCATTTGTGAAGCCGCTCCAAGCACTTCCGAGGCGTTGCTGGCAGCTGGCAGCGGCCGAATGCATCGCCTCTGCTCGCTCACAAGAAAGGAAGCCCTTTGTGCCACTCTATGGAGATTCGAGGTCTGTGCTGTGAGTTCATGTTCTAGAGCAGTGGTTCTCAACCTTCTGGCCCTTTAAATCCAGTTCCTCATGTTGTGACCCAACCATAACATTACTTTCGTTGCTACTTCATAACTGTAATGTTGCTACTGTTATGAATCGTCATGTAAATATCTGATATGCAGGATGGTCTTAGGCGACCCCTGTGAAAGGGTCGTTCGACAGCCAAAGGGGTCGAGACCCACAAGTTGAGAACCGCTGTTCTAAGACCCTCCTGGTGAAATGAGAGAACATGTGTCCATCCACGCGGGTCAGTGGGTGTTGGTTAGTGGGCGTGGTGCGTGGACGCCCGTGGAGGTGAGCTGGGGCCTTCGATGCCACTGCCCCACCTCTGCTCAGGCCCTTGGCCTTATCTGACCTTAAAAATATGGAGAAAAACAACGAACAAGCAAACAAGTTAGATGCTCTCTCAGCAAAATTAGAATGCTTTATGTCACACTCCTCTCGCTGGCAGCCAGAGGAATCTCCCCGGCTGAGCCACCAAACAGCAGCAGGACAAGCAGGCATTTTCTCCAGGCTCACGGACTGTAGGCTCCGCCTTCAGCTACATCATCTATGTATTCGTGGAAAGGCAATACTTTAAGATGATTTTAAACGATGGGCGAAGTCACGTTTTAACAATTGCAGGACGTTATTAAAGACCTCCGGTTCCCTCCTCAGCTTCATCAGAAAGTGACTTCTCCCGTCTTTGGCCTCTTCCCTCCCTCACGTGGGCTTAAGCCTCTTGTTTTTCAGGAGGGAAATGCTGTTCTTCCCCTTCCCGCAGTCGGACTCTCGGAGAGCCTTAGGGAGGAAGTGGTCAGTTTACAAGAGGGGGGCTCCCTCTTTGAGGAAAGGTGAGACCCCAACCACCCCCGGCAAAGGACATGGTGTCCCTGACGGAATCCTCCAGGGAAGGGAACAGCATTGTGAAACGCTGACCGCCACGTTTGGAGTCATCCGGACACTGCGGCATCGTCTCTGCGAGGAAGTTCCCCACCGCCCGGGACTGGGTTAGTCACCAAGTCGTGTGCCCTTACGAGGGCAAATGACATGTCACCGTACGTTTGACCAACAATGGCCCCATTTCTGAGTCAGAACCACTGGCACTAAGTCATGAGTTGTAGCTATTTCCAGTGAAGAGGTCAGTGAACTTGGGCTTGCTTCAGTGTGGAGTTTTAAACGTCTATTGTAGCCCTGGCCAGTGCTCTCAATGGTTAGAGCGTCAGCTCTAGCACAGAAGCGTTCACTTCCCCATCAGGGGCATGACCTGGGTTGCAGGTTCAATCCTGGTCCGGGCACGTGCAGGAGGCAACCAATAGATGTGTCTTTCTCACATTGATGTTTCTCTCTCTCTCTCTCTCTCTCTCTCTCTCTCTCTCTCATCTCGCCTTCCCTCTCTCCCTTCCACTCTCTCTAAAAATCAATGGGAAACGTATCCTTGGGTGAGGATGAACAAAAAAAAAATTAGTAATAAAGCATATTGCTAGATGCAAAAAAGCAAACTGAAAAATGTATACTGTATGCCTCCACCTGTTTAAAAGTCCATATATTATATTTACATAAATGTTTTCAAATACATAGAACTTTTCTGGAGGATGTTTTTGCACATCTATAAAGATGCATATGTCTAATAATTTCATAGAAGGAGAAATACACCACAGTGTGACACATTATCCATAACGGTGGAATTATAGATGATTTTTCTATTCTTGTCTCCCAATTTTTGTGTATTTTCAAAGTTTCTACCAGAGGCATGCATGGGTTACTTTGTTATGGGGTGTGGGGGGGTGTAACTTAGGAATAGGAGAGTTGATTTAAAAAATATACCCTAGGCTTTTGAGCATTGTTGAAGTTGTAGGAAAGACAGACCAGAAAACACCTGTATATATGGTAAAAGACCTGTTTCTGTTTTCAGACTGGTGGAATTATCAGAATTTCTGCCCATCCCAGCAATGTTGTGTCTGGAGCTTGAAATCTCCTTTACTCGCATCAGTTAATTTGTAAGGGGTTTTGCTGTTGTTTCCGTAAGGACTTTGCTGAACTTGGGAGGCTAACGAGCCCTGCAGGTCCGGGGAATACAGTGCAGCTGCAGCCTAGGAGTGTGCGTCCTGGGACCGCCCGAGGCCTTCCCCAGAGCTGCCCTTTCAGCCTGTCCAGGGTGGAGCCCACACATTTGCATTTCAAACAGGTTCCCAGATAATATGCTGATGCTGCTGGTTCAATGACATTCTTTGAGCACATCTGCATAAAGCAAACTGCTGTGTCATCAGAGGAACCCCAGGGGGAGTGGAGGTCACGTGGAAGGGTTAGGGCTGCCGGTCCAGAGGAAAGCCCTGCAGTTGCAGTGCCCAGCCAGCCCCGCTCGGACACCTGGACACCTCGGGGCTGAGGAGGTGGGGAGGAAGGCAGTCACTGATGGAGCCCTGAGTGGAGGGAATGGCACTCTTCAGTGCTGCAGAGGGTGTTTAGTCTTTTCATTGTGAATCAGAGCCCACTGTGGGGAAAGGAGAGCCGTACCTCCATTTCTGTAACTTCAAAATGGAGATAACTGATGCTGATGAGTGATCTCAGCAACTGAAACCTGAGGGGTAATGTCACCGGAAATGCATGGGATAAACATAAGTGCACGTTCTTTTTTCTAAGAAGAGGCACGGAACAAAACAAAACAAAACACACAGAACAAGGACCTTCTTTATCTCTGTCTCTCCGGACTGCACCTAGAACTCGGAAACGGCCTCCGGCCCCACCCGCCCGGGAACTGGGTTTGGGTTCTGGGCCTCGCTCGGCTCCGCCAGCAGAGGGTGCGGTTCCAGCGCCTCCCGGGACGCGGGCTGAGCTGACCGGGTGACTCAGGGGCCTCGCCCCGCGCCTGCCCTCGCGCCCGGGCCCACAACGCCCTCCCGGTGACCGATGACCGCACGCCCCGGCCACTGCGCCGCGCCTCCAGGTGCGCGGGCCGCGCCCAGGCCGGACCCCTTTCGGGGACTGGGTTCGGAGCAGTGCTGGCTCGGACCTAGAGTCAGCACGTGTTCCGCCGAGCGGTGGGGGCCGAACCAGGAAAAAGCGTCTCCGGGACCTCCCGTTTGCTAACACCTCCTCGCCCACCATCTTCAACCAAAGAAAAGGACAAAAAGGGGAGACATGGATTTAAAGCGCGAAAACCACACACCGTTGCTACAACCCCAGAAACACTCTCCCGGCGGATTCCAGAGCTAGCGCCCAGCCCAGGCGGAGCTCAGTGGTTAGCGCCCCCGCCCCACACGCCCCGGTCCGGGCGCGCACAGGAGTCAGCCAATGGATGCGTAAATAAGTGGAACAAATCGGGTTCCCCTCTCCCTCTAAAATCAATCAACAAACAAGTAAATTAAAAAGAAAAGCCCAGAAGTTGAGCTGACCTAGTCTGAGAGGCCCTGGCCCCACTCCGCCCCCCGCGGGACGGAGCAGACAGGTGCGGAGCTGGGACTCCCGGAGGCCGCTGCGGCCGGGTCTGGTCCGCGCCCCTCCGGGCTGTGGCCCCGCCCGCCCAGCTAGGCCACGCCCCCTATAACCCCGCCCCCTCCATAACCCCGCCCCAGAGCGTCCTCCTGGCCAAGCAGCGGCGGCCCCGCCCGGAAGGGGGCGGGTCTCACGACGCCTCTTCCTTCCTGACCTGCGCGCGCAGCCCCGGCGCTGGGTCCTGCTTGACAGGTCCTGCTTTCTGTGTCCGCGGAGCCGGGACTGGGTTCTGAGGGAGCCGGACCGAGTCGAGCCGAGCCCAGCCCAGCGGAACCTCCGCAGCCCGCAGCCTGCGACATGAGTGCGCGCGGCCTGGCCCTGGGCCTCCTGCTGCTGCTGTGCCCGGCGCAGGTGAGCGACCGGGAACCGGGGCTGCGGCCGGGAACGGGGGCTGCGGCGGCGCGGCGGGGCCGGGAGTCCGGGAGGGCGGCGGGTCCTGAGGAACCACCCCGGCCGCGTCCCGGCCCCGAGGTGGAGGAGGGCGGCTCTGGGACCACGGTTCGGCCTGTTTGGCGCCCGTTCCGCTGTGGCCACCCCAGTTCTGGGTGGAGGACGTGGGGCAGGGGCGGGAGGGGAGCGGGGGCGGGAGGGGAGCGGGGGCGGGGTCCTGTGTAGCCTGACTGCCTTCCTCGTGCCGCCGCGTGCGTTCCCGCTCTGGACCATTGTTAGGCTCCTACCCGTGTGTCCCTTCTCCTCCCCAAAGAGGAAGGTTCGAGGGAGGGAAGCCAGTGCGAGGGAGGGAAGGGAGCTAAAGGCGTGAGTCAGGTGAAGCGGTAGAGCTCGTGTAGCACCGGCTGGAACAGCTGCGCGGGACCTGACAGGAGTCAGCTCGGTCTAAAGGGTGCAAGTTGCTTCTTACCAACTCTTTTCGCGTCTTTGGAAGCTGAGTCCCAGGGGCCATCAACTCCCCTGGTGGCGGGACCCGGTGGCCCAGGACCCGGGCGACCCCGTGGCCCCAGGACCCGGGCGACCCGGTGGCCCAGGACCCGGGGGACCCGGTGGCCCAGGACCCGGGGGACCCCATGGCCCCAGGACCCGGGGGTCCCAGGGTGGGCTGGTTCCCCTGGGTCAGGCCGCCTGGGCAGCAGTGCCTCGCTGCTGTGTGTGTATCTAAGTTTCCTCTTTGAAAATCGGGGCACGGAGGGGGAGTCCAAGGATCAGTGCTGGTTAAACCTGACCAGGGTGAAGAGGGACCTGGGATGCTGTGCCCTGTGCCCACCTGCCTGCAGGGGGTGGCAGTGGGTGATGAGTCGCACGGCGGGCAGACCAGGAAACCTCTCCTTCGCTTCTGTGCAGCCCTGGGGAGGGGGTCGGAGACGCGACCCAGGCAGGGTCCGGAGCCAGAGGGGCGGTGGCTCCCTCCTGGGTATGTGTATGGGGGTCCAGCCGCGTGGGCGGGGGTGCCGGTCGGGAGAAGGCGGAGAGTGGGTACCGCTCACCAGCACTGGCTTTGGGCACATTCCTATTTCTTTCTTTTTTAAAAAAATATTTTATTGATTTTTTACAGAGAGGAAGGGAGAGGGATGGAGAGTTAGAAACATCGATGAGAGAGAAACATCGATCAGTTGCCTCCTGCACACCCCCTACTGGGGATGTGCCCGCAACCAAGGTACATGCCCTTGACCAGAATCGAACCCGGGACCCTTCAGTCCACAGGCCGACGCTCTATCCACTGAGCCAAACCGGTTAGGGCACATTCCTCTTTCAAGCCTCAGTTTTTTTCTGAAGATACACAATAAACACCTCAGAGGATTACTCGCGTTATTAGGTGTGATTTATGGAGAGACCCCATTGCTTTAGTGAAAACTCCAGAGATGGCAATGATGTGCCTTAAAGAAAGTGCAGCTGTCCAACTTCCCCTGCTTAGTCAGGACCTCAGGGGCTTCCCAGGGCCCAGCAGCTTTCACTGGACAGTGAAACCCCATCGCCTGGAGGTGGTACCCCGGCTGCTGGCCAGAGGCCCTCCTAGGACTTTGGGGGTAGGTCAGAGGTTGGTCACGAGTCTCAAGTCTCTTGCAAAATGCCTGGGAGCCGGGACAGGTCTGTAAAGCTTAACTGGAAAAACTCCTATTGTGATCTCATGAATCAGCTCACTGAGTCTGCGGAGGCTCGCAGAACACTGAGCAGGTGGGGTGGGCGGGGCGGCTGTCTTCAGAATTCTGACCTCTGACAGCAGCGCGTCTGGGGTCCGTCTGAGCACTCATAACGTTCCGTCACAGAGGGACAGGCTGGCTGTCCTCTGATGGCCTCCAATACATTTTGGAGGGATTTCTCTTAATTTTAAATTTTTACAGATAATGAAATAACATTACTAGACTGAATGGTTTTTAAAAATCCTTGTAGTCATCCAAGTAATGTGTACAGCTTTGAGAAATAGGTTGTGTGTGTGTCTCTATAGATATTATATACATTTATCCTGACTATATTTTATAAGCTTTTTCTTGAGGAACAGGGAGCATAGTGAGGCCTGGGTAGGAATGAAGTCATTAGAACGGCTTTTCCTGGGCTTGGGAATGGTTGATGTTTTGGGCCGAGAGCCTTGAAGAATAACCACCTGAGGATGGCGTGAATGTGGGTGAACTTTCCCAGTCTCTCTGCCCGGGTTGCTGCTGTGATAGCTACTCTCCGAACATCAGCACTCAGGGAAAGTAGGTTTCCCTCCGGCCAGTGGGCAGCAAGAAAAGGCTCGCTGAATAGGTCTTTGTGCTCCGCAGTGTTTGTCGTGCCACCAGAACAAAGGGCCCCTCTGCTCATGGAGACAGTGTGTCCTCGGCTCCGGGGCAGCCCTGCCTCCTAAAAGGGAGGCTTCTCGGGAGTTTTAAGGGTGACACCTTCCCTCCTGCGGAAGCCTGGGTCAGAGCATGTCTCACCTGACCTCAGTGCCCCTGTCCCCCTCACACCACAGCTCTCTCCAGCCAAACAAACGACTTGCTGTCGAAACACGTCTGTCTTCCCAGGCCAGTTCAAATGCCCCATCGTCCTGACCTTGGCTCCCTGTGCCCCCAGCTAGCATGCCTTCCCTGGGAAGCTCTAAGTCTTTGTGTAAACTCCCGCAGCGGCATTTCTGCCCAGCAAACGACTGTGAATTGAAAGACGTGGGTGTGGGTCTGGCCTCCTCTTCCCAGGAGTGACCTTGGGCCAGCAGTGATCCCCGAGCCTCCGTTCCCTCCTCTGTCCACTCAGATGAACAGCTATCCCCGCTGTTAGGTGCGTGCGGAAGAGAGGGCTAGTGTTGGAACTGAACGAGTGGGTCGCCTCCAATGTGGCTGGGACGCTTGTGCGTTTCTCAATCACCAGATCATCAGGCTCTCGTGGGTTCAGGTGAGAGGGTGGGCGGGGGAGGGGTTCCGAGGCTGGCGGAGAAATGGCCCGGATTTGCACATGGTGTCTTTGTTCTCCATAACCAGTCACCAGCGGTGGCCATGCAGGTTTTCCGATGTTTGGACTGTTCCTCTTATTTTCAAGTCTTTGGAATGTTTGCTTTGGCTAGAAAACGTTAAAGAACAAACAAAACCCTCGCTGATGCAAGTGTGCTGTTGGGGAATTTCAGAGTGAAACTTTAAAATGTGTCCTTTATCTTATGACTTCCCCTCAGGCCACAGAGGAACTCAAATGACTGTCTTACACTAATTTTATAAAAGTGTTTGCTGTGGACACAGTGTAGGAAACAAAAGTAGATGCAACGAGTAAACGTGTAAATGATGCAGAGGGCAGTCTACACCAGCCCTGGGCAAACTATGGCCCGCGGGCCGGATCCGGCCCGTTTGAAATGAATAAAACTAAAAAAAAAAAAGACCGTACCCTTTTATGTAATGATGTTTACTTTGAATTTATATTAGTTCACACAAACACTCCATCCATGCTTTTGTTCCGGCCCTCCGGTCCAGTTTAAGAACCCATGGTGGCCCTCGAGTCAAAAAGTTTGCCCACCCCTGGTCTACACACTGAAGTGCTGTGTGATGTTAGCAGCCTCTATGCGTCTTATTCATAGTTGACGGGACGAAGAGTAAATACAGTGTAAAAATCACAATGCAAAGTGTGCTTAGTAAAAGCAGGAAGAGAACGCCCTAGGAGCCCATGCGTTAGCTGACCTCTGCAGGGTCACTCACCAGGTGGACAAGAGGAAACGGGAGGAAGTAGGGGGCGGTTACCGAGTTGTTACTAAAACCTGTGCACTTGAAAAGGGTGGACTTCATGGTATCTGAATGACCTCAGTGAGCCATTGGAAAATAACATCCCAGTTGACAAGAAACTAAAGGAAAAAGAGCCACCTAATTTTTGCCTAGCACTCCCATGGCTGGGGCTCGTCGATCTGGTTGATCTGCAGAGCACCTTTAAGGTAAGCGTGATGCTGTGCTGCAGATGTGGAGAGTAGGGCTCAACTTTGTCCCCGGGTCACATCCCTAGTACATGGCAGGCTGGGGCTTGAGCCTCTGTCCTTTGACTCCTGTGCGCTATTCGGGTTCAGAACGGTGGGGGTTTATTTACAGTGAGCGAGCGAAGTTGAATGTGTGTTCAGCAAATGTTCCGTGTGGCCAGTAAGGCCCTGGCGTTCGTGTGGTTTCTCCAAGAGCCGGTGATAAGTCAGGGGGATTAGCCCACCGGCCTGACCATGGCTCAGTGGCCACACTGAGTATCCCATCGGAGAAAAGCCTGCAGACAGGTACACCCCCATCCACTCCTGCAGTTTCATGTTAGTCTTTTGACTTGGGTTGTTTTTCAGACCATGGGTGCTGGCGCTCAGCAGTGTCTAATGGTATTGTTAGGGGTATGATCCTGGGTGAGTCACTTACAGAAACTGCCAGCTACTTTATCCACTCAGTGAAGGTAGCTGAGTCCATCTAAGGACAAATGTGTGACTTACACACCCATCTGCCGGTGAGCCCGGTGCTTACACAAATCACTCCTTGTTTTGTGGATGTGTTCACCCCAAGTTGCTGTAAAACAGAGTTCCAGAGATTTCCCTCAATAGAGTTCAGACCAGACAAGCCTCCACGCCAGTGTCCTGCCGTATGTGTGTGGTCCCCTCGCTGGGGCAGGGGCGTCTCTAGGTTCTGCCTTGAGCTCTACCCGTCAGGACAGGGCAGAGGGAGGGACCCAGCCCGCACTGCACCTGCCTGAGGTGGAGGAGAGTCACCTGCACTGAGAAGGTGAGCCCTGAGCCGACGGATGCTCAGCGCTGGACTGAAAAAGATGTCAATGGCACTCAAGTGGCCACGTGTATGTAGGAAGAGGGACACGTGTAGGATTGTAACGATGGGACAGCCCATCGCTGGCACATTGTCCAAATCTCATCATACACCTTATGTACCAACTGACTGGAGTTGTGAACGGTACAGCAGCTGGGGGTGGGATGGGAATAGGATGGAGCAGGTTAACTTGGTGCTCAAACCTCCATTCTCAGCACTGGTTTCCTCATTGGTGAGCCATGTGGCCTCAGAGACTCTCGGAGCCTCAATTTCCTTACCTGTGAAATGCTACAGTACTGCTCCATGGTGGGGGGCGGGGGAGGGGGGAGGCGGGCTCTGAAAAATAAATGAGAAAGAAATCACGTAACCTGGTTGACGTTTGGTAAGTGATTGAATATGAGTTACTTAATACTTTATTCATTGGGATTTTTAAAAGATATATTTTTATTGATTTCAGAGAGGACGGGAGAGGGGGAGAGAGATAGAAACATCAATGATGAGAATTTTGGATCAGCTGCCTCCTGCACTGCCCCGACTGGGGATCAAGCCCACAACCTAGGCATGTGCCCTGACTATGAATCGAACCGTGACCTCCTGTTCATAGGTGGACGCTCAACCACTGAGCCACGCCAGCGGGGGGGCGGCGGGCGGGGGGGGGGAGGCAGGATACCCTAAGGGCAGCCTGGAGGACAAGGTCCCGTTGCTGGTGTTCAGAGCTCCTCCATGTGATGAGATGCTTTCATGCAGCTTCCTACTGGAGTCCTTTTAGCAAGTTGCTGTAGTTGCTGACATTTTTTTAGCCTTTCCTAAACTATTCTTATTATTTTTAAATATGTTTTTGTTGACTTTTTTTTTTTTTTTTTTAGAAAGAGGAAGGGAGAGAGAGATAGAAACATCAGTGATGAGAGAGAATCAATGATCGGCTGCCTCCTGCACACCCTCTATTGGGGATCGAGCCCCCAACCAGAACTGAGCTCCCGTTGGATCGCGTGCCCTTTTGGCTCTGGCGGACCTCGAACATTGGTGTGCTTTTCCCTACTGGGCACAGTCCTTCCTCCCGAGTCGGTGTATTCACTGACCTGGCATCAGCACCAGGTGCTCCGTATCCTGGAAAGGCGGACACCTTGCTCCTGTTATCAGGTGCTTGCTGAGGAAGGCACGCGGGCCTGTGTGTGAGCCCTGGGTGCGCCCTGTCCCTCCATCTTGTCAGCATGTGCTGCCCTGACATCCAGGGATCGTAGGTGCATCTGTCCTCTTTGTTGACAATGTCCTGACTGCCCTCTGTGCTCTGGTGATTTGGAGACTGAAAATCCGATCGCTCAGATGCCAGCTGGGTCCTTGACGGGATACAGAGATGAGGGTGGCCTCAGTGCGGCGAGAGGAGTGAGAGATCTGGCTTGAGAACCAGCCAGGTTGGGGTAGGGTCTGGCTTGCCGTTTCTGAGGTGGGTCACTTTACCTGTGTGGTCCTCCGTCTCGTCTCTGTAAAGGGTGGTGTTTTCGTGCCAGCTTCGCAGACCCGAGGTTAAGGGAGCTGGTGAAGGCACACTCAGCAAGTGACGGGCGCTGGACTGTGCCCGGTGGGTCAGGAGGTGAAGGTGGAAAGTGGCCGTGATGGGAGCAGGGGTGTGGAGTGCAGGGAGGGGGCCGGAGGGGCATGAACTGGGAAGGACGGGGAAGGCCGGGTGGGAGGGGAGCGGATGGTAAGTTCTGGGCAGCAGAAAACCTGCGGCGGTGGCTCAGGAAGCGCCAAGTGGCAGTTGACCACATGGAGGACCACACGGGTAAAGTGACCCACCTCAGAAACGGCAGGCCAGACCCTACCCCAACCTGGCTGATTCTCAAGCCTCTGAGACATTGCCCAGGTCTGGGTGGAAGGTGCCATGAGGGCAAAGAATGGCGCCGGGCTCTGCAGGGGAGGAGTCTGGGAGGAAGAGCACAGGAGGCTGCACCAGGGAGCCTCCTGGGAGGTCGGGAAGGTGCCCCGGCTTTCGGCCCTGAGGAGCGGACACTGGTGATGTGGGGGCTTCAGAGGAAGGTTAGCTTCCTTTTGAGCACCTGGGTGGCTGGGCAGGTAGGCGGAAGTGGGATAGGGTGAGGGGTGGTTTGATGGAGGGAGAATGAAATTGGAGCAGCATTCATAGGCAGGCGGAGGTGAAGGGGCCAAGAGAGATGGGGTTGAAAATGTGGAAGAGAAGGCAGTCGGTTGGTGGAGGAAGCGCAGGAACACCACCCATCGGGGCGGGGAGATGGAGGGCAGCCTCCCACCTTTAGCTGGAAGTGAGAACAGGAAGGTGAAGGTAGAGAGAGGTTTGAGATGGAAAAGGGGCCGCCCCGAGCCCAGGGCAGCAGGGTGACACGTGTGTGCGCTTTGCACAAGGTGGGGAGTGGGAGGGAGGGTAATGTTAGAATGAGGACCTTAATTATACAGTAGATTATATTTTATTAAGACTGTTTCCCGAAACAACGATGTCCTGGTTGAATCCTGGCTCTGCCACTCTTGGACAAGTTACTTAGCCTCACTGTGCCCCGTCTCTTCATCTGTAAAATGGGTATAATAACAGCACCTCCCGCATCAGCTCATTGTGAGATTCCTTAGTTCATACATGAAGAGCAGTTCAGACCGTGCCTGGCTTGTAAAGAGCTTGTAAGTACTTTGGGCCCCACTGGCTGAGGGCTGCCTGAGGCAGAATGACTTTGGAAGCAAACCCAAGGACGCTGAGTCCAGCCCAGTGTCGTGTCCCTGGGCCCAAAGGAGCCGGTGTTTTATTTCCTTCAGGTCTCCGGAGCCTCTTTGCTGAGGTCCCACACGGCTGGGAGACGTTAGGAGTAATTCATTGGTTTGTACCGTGCAAGCCCTTCCATGTGTATTCCCTCCTGGATCTTCACACCAACCCGGTGAGGTGAGCGGTGGTGTGACCACATTCACGGGCAGAATGCTCGGCTCCCCGGGATTTGGCACCTGCTGCAGCTCGATTGGCCTTAACAAGCCGTGCCCTGAGCACCCTGCCCTGCCCTCCCCGTCCCCGCCCCCCAGATGGTGACACTCTGCTTAGAGATAAGTGATGTCCATTATGAAGCGTGATCTTTGTGAACAGGAGCACACAGCACCGGGTCATCCTTATTTCCTCTGGAGTGCTGAGTGCTGAGGAGGGGCAGTGGGCGCCAGACGCCCATCCTGCTAGTCATGCCCGAGTCACGGCTGTGGTTTGTTGGCTGGATTTCTGCCTCTCCAATGGGTGACATGCCAGAGGCCGCCCCCTTGCCCCCGCCCCCCACTCCCCACCCCCGGGCCCAGACTTGCTTGCCGTGTTGGGCTGTTGAGAATGCTGTGAGGTCCAGGGTGGGTTTCTTCTGTTTAAATGGCACGTAAATACCAGCATCGCCTGTCCCGTCCCGTCCTCGTTGGTCAGCTTTTTTGCCTTTTCAAACTTCAGTAGATGGACAATGACCTTTCAGTTGGAACCCAGAGTCTTAGAAAGAACAATACTTTCCCTAGAATTGGAAATAACTGTGATTCTTTTTGCCTAAAAATGCGACGGAATTTTGTAGCATCTTGCCAGAGGTTTGATGTGTGGTGTTTTCGAATAGTTGGCACGTCCTCATTTGTATCATTTGCATAATGAGTCGAGATAAGGATGTTCTGAAATACCCGAATGAATTCAGAGTCGAATCGTATCGACCCCTCTGGCTCCCCCACATGTGTTCCCCCGCCTCCTGCTTGATTTTTCTTTCATGTTTCCAGGTCTTCAGGGCCTGTTGTGGTATTTGTTCTCAACGCTGGGGACCACAGCACAGACTGACGGCCCCTTCGGGTGTGTGGGTCCTGTGCCCCGGCCCCAGGAGAATGCGCGGCGGCCTCGGTGCAGATTGTTTAACTTGGCTGTCCCTCCAGGCGTTTGGGAGCCCAGTCGGATGTCCTCTGTTTCCCCAGGGACAGGGGACGGCTCGCTTATGCAAGCCCGCGGCCCCGGTGGCTGGCAGGGCCGGTGGCAGCTGACCCGGTGACTCACACGGCACCTCCTCCCTCCTGAGTTCCTGCAGCCTCGTGACTCTCACATGAGGGACATGAGTGGCTCTTGAGATATCTCTACAGGAGAAGCCGTGCATTTTTCTTTTAAGATCGATGAGGTGACTTTCCTTAAAATGAGCACGTTGCTTACCGTCCCCTGACCTTAGGACAAGGGGTGTGTTGCTGCTGCTTCTTACTGAGGGCTTATTGGTGTTGGTGGTTGTGTTCTCCCTGTGAGTCATGAGGGGCTGCTGTTAATTCTCCGAAACAGAGAGGGGCTGTTCTCCCTTCCTTAGCGCTCCTCGCTCCTTACTCAGCCGTGCGGACACGGTGCCTCAGTCATCACATGCTGCCTGTCCTCGCCTGGATTTTTAGCAATTCTTAGTCATAAACGACAGCTTTCTCTTACGAACCAGTGAACTGGCAGGAATAGGAGTCGTGCAAATAGGTCGTTTCTGTTACCTCCTTCACCGCTGTGCTTGACCAGGTTTTGGGGGTGGCATTTGCTTCACTGAATTTTTTCAGGATGTTGACCTCGCAGTGCCTCTTGCTGTCACCCCTTCCCAGGTGACAGTGGGAGGTTCTGTGTGGGAGCTGAGGGCTGCTTCCTGCTGCTGAGGCCCCGGTGAACCGTTTGTGTTGGCTCCGCAGGTGTTTCCGCAGTCCTGTGTCTGGTATGGAGAGTGTGGGATTGCTTCTGGAGACAAGAGGTACAACTGCGAGTATTCCGGGCCCCCGAAGGCACTGCCGAAGGATGGGTATGACTTAGTGCAGGTAAGCCCGTCCTCTGGGCGCTGGGAACATGGATTCGAATCGGAGAGCCTCTGGGATCATGTCTGAGATACAGTGGGGCCTTGACTTACGAGTTTAATTCGTTCCGTGATGGAGCTCGTAACTCAAATTACTCGTATGTCAAATCACTGTGACGTTCGCTGCGCCAACTAGCGGTGGGGTATCTGAAGCTGGCTCGTACGTAACCCGAATTTTAGCTCGCAACTCAAAGCAAAAAATCGGCCGAGAGACGGCTCGTATCTCGAAAAAACTCGTTAGTTGGGACACTCGTAAGTCAAGGCCCCACTGGATTACTGTGCGCGGGGGTTGCGGGGAAACACCTGCAGGGTTAACTCTGCCCCGAAACCACTAGGCAGCATATGACGACAGAGGAGATAAGACGACCCAGGGGTGGGTTTTCGGGGCTAACTTCACGCCTTTCCCGTGAAGTTTCTCGCTGCAGGTCACTGTTGGGGACTGACCCTGGTGTCTCAGAGGTGCTCTTTGCACCTTCTTCCAAATGGGCTGGAAGTTAGCTTCGCCTGGTTCTGGATTTCAGGACCTGAGTGGACGAGGCAGCCACGGGGCTGTGGCTTCTTTGTCCTCCGTTCATTTAGTGGTTCCTTGGTCTTCCTCTGAGAGCCTGTGGGCTTGGCTGCTACCAGCATTCTGTTTTCTGTCGTCTCCTTCACCATCCCTGGTTCACAGAGATGTTAGGAAGAATTGGGAAAATCAAGGTGAAAGACTAGTTTAGAGGCGTAAGCATCTAAAATCAACTCGACAGGGTAGCAGGTGTTGGAGATGTTGCTCCTTCATCCAAATAGTTAAAGGCATTGACCTACCCTGGAGTGGCTCCTGGATACACAGTGAATAGCATTCTGGTCCAACGTAAATGAAAAAGCACAAGGAGAGGTAAGCTGATTGGTCAAGGGAGGAAAGTGAGCTTCCAAATAAGAAAAAAAGTTGAACTGTCCCTACTTTTGTGAATCCTTAGCTTTGAACTAGTGCATTGATGGCCTTTAAAAGAATTCTGCAAGGCCTTTGCCAAGAGGGTCTGAGCCTTGTGCACGGGAAAAGGTGGATAAAGCTGCTTGTTTCCCTGGTGATGTCTGTCTGTGTTGGACTGCGCTGCCCTGATTTCCACGCTTTCTCCCCCAAAGGAACTCTGTCCGGGGCTCTTCTTCGGCAACGTCAGCCTCTGCTGTGATGTGCAGCAGCTCCGGACCCTGAAAGACAACCTGCAGCTGCCTCTCCAGTTTCTGTCCAGGTAGGTCGGCCGCCAGGCAAGCAGGAGAAGACGGCGTTAGGTCCGCAGGTCCTCGAATAAGGCCCTTTCCTTCAATGTCATTTCTTTATAATGTCACTGAGATGCCGTAGGAGCTGAGCTCTTGTGTCTGTCAGTCACTCTGTGGTGACATTGGTTTATTGTACAGTGGGGCCTTGACTTACGAGTTTAATTTGTTCCGAGACCGAGCTCGTTAAGGAGCTCGTTAATTCAAATTACTCTGTCAACTCAAAGCAAAAAATCTGCCGAGAGACAGCTGGTATCTCAAAAAACTCGTTAGTCGGGACACTCGTAAGTCAAGGCCCCACTGTATGTGGTTTCCCTCAGAGCCATTGAGCCTGGCGAAGGCGCTGAGCAGGGCCTCCTGCACTTCTTAGCTGGCACATTCCCGTTCCTTTAAGGTTTTGTTTTATTTTGAGAAAGCAATCTTAAGACTTCCAGGAACAATGAATACTTTCTGATAAAGTAGTAATGATCAGACTTACTTTTCTTCTAGTTACTTATAGCCAGAGTTATACTTGGTTTTCCTCCGAGCTGTCTTCACCCCAAAGGGCCTCTGCAGTGTGACTAACCAGGTCCTTCCACACGGAGCCTCTGCGCCCAGAGGTTCTGCTCAGGTCCCTGACCCACACCTTCATGTGGAGTCTCTCGTCGCCCCCCTTCACCTCCCCGGGTTTGCACACGGTCTCTTCCGGGGGTGACGTGATGTGCTTGAGGCCAGGCCTCCCGAGAGCTGGCCTTGACTGTTAACAGGATTGTTCTGGCGTAGCCGGCTGGTTTTGTCAGAGTCAGTTTGCTGTCCAGGCTGTGTCTATGACCAGGGCAGTGAGAGGGTTACGTGCGAGATGTTCTTATCTAAGCTACGCAGCAGCTCTCACATGTGCAGAAGGACAAGCGGACGTGGTCTTGTCACAAGGCCGATGGGAAGGACGTATGACGTGGGGATGCTGCTCTGTGCAGAGATCTGCAGGCAAAGGGCCCACGTCGGCGTCCACCGAGGAATTTCTGTTCTTCCCAGAAGTTTAAGCTGCCGGTAAAGAGGGGAAACAGTCCCCCTTTCCAGGACGACGTGCAATTTAATGACAGATGGAAACTTAAGATCTGATTGGGCGGTATGTCCTGTGGTGCCGATGGAGCCAGCCTGGAGCGGTGACCTCGTTTCTTTAGCACCGCCCAGGGGAGGCATTACGATGTCAGAGGTAACCGCATTGTCTCCATGTTGTCAGGGTGCCAACGCTTTACCCACAGTGGAAACGAGAAGTCGCTCTGTGGAATGCCAGGCAGCTGTCAGGTCGAGGACTGTGGAGATTAAATGCGTAGCCTGGCGGGAGTTTGTAATTCGTGGAGAGTGACAAAACTGCACCAAAAGTGGTTTTATAAATGGTGCCGGTGTCCTTCCCGTTGTTGTCACGGTAACGCACAAGACTCCTGAGGGTCAGGGTGTGTGGCTCTGTCTTCACTGCACCAGGGGCTGTGAGGCCCAAACACTTCCCGAGTGGTCGCCCTCGGGTCGGAGCCGTTGTGATTATTGTGCTGCAGGTCCAATGAAGCAGTCGTTTGCAGAGAGCTGTGAGCCCGAGAGGAGAGAGAGAGCTTTTGCCACAAAACTCCACCTCAGGAGCTTAACCTTCGAGCCTGAGGCCCGCAGGCAGCTGTGGTTCTGCTCCTCCGACCACCAGTGCAGCCTCTCCTCAGGCCACGGAGTGCTCCTGGGTGAGGGAGGCCTGTGTTAGCCGGGCCTGGGGAGAGCCCTTCAGTGGGCCGTAAACTCATCACTGTCACCAGGAGGCGTTTAAGTCCCTTTAGCTTCAAGTCATGGAAAACATTTCTCTAAATTAGAAAGTGCGGAATTCAGAGACGCATCTGGACAACATAGATGTAGTAATAAGGGCCGTGTTTAGAGAGGTGTCTTTATTTTAACACGAGGGTTTAGGCTTATTTTAGTGGCTGGTGTAATGTGTCTTCATGATAATGAAATTTAAATATACTTTTCCTATTTTAAATCATCGTTTTGTTAGTCCTATTATCGGTGACATCATACAGAGTATGGTTACTTTTTCTCTAGATGTCCATCCTGTTTTTATAACCTGATGAACTTGTTTTGTGAGCTGACGTGTAGCCCTCGACAAAGCCAGTTTCTGAACGTTACAGAAACCGAAGAGTATGTGGACCCTGTTACCCACGAGAATAAAACAAACGTGAAGGAGTTACAGTACTATGTTGGAGAGAGTTTTGCCAATGGTAAGTACACTTTCAGTTATTCCTCCTTTACAATTGGTATCCGGACTGTGGATCAAGTTGTTCCTTTTTGCTGTCCTGTCAACTGTGAAAGTCACAATGTCTGTTTCATTGGCCGTGAATGCAGGTTGTTGCTGCTTGTATCCGAACCCTATTTAACAATCTCCTGAAAGAGGAGATTTGCTTTAACTGCTTCCTAACTATATGCTTCCACATGGAATTCTGAGTATGTGCAAGTTTCCTTCTGTACATTTTAGAAACAATGGAACTGTGGTTCTATTGGACATGAATTGTGTAACTCCATGAATTACTGCGAGACTGAGGAGAGGGGTGGAGAGTAGTTGGCAGAGAGGACATTTCGACTGTGAAGAAGCAGGTTGCCATGAGGGAAAGGAAGCAGGTCTAGCAATCCAGGGAGAGGGACCCCAACAACTAGAAATAATAGGACAATCTGAAAAAGACCATATGATGTTTGTTGAAAATCATTGAGATAAAGGAATTTTTTAAAAATATGTTTTTATTAATTTGAAAGAGAGCGGAAGGAAAAGGGAGAGAGAAACATTGATGGAGAGAGAAATATTGATTGGTTACTTGCCACAAGCACCCAACTGGGGATTGAAGCACCCAACTGGGGATTGAACCTGCAACCTGGACATGTGCTCTGACCAGGAATCGAACCAGCAGCCTTTTGGCTCATCCATCTGAGCCACACTGGCTAGGGTGGAGATGAAAGAATTTTGAAAGAGTAAGATTCTAGAGAAAGAGAATGAAAGATTAGAAATAGAACCACCTGGACCTATTAATGAGAAATAGTCATTTAAATGTCTAAAAGATAAGCAGCAGATCAGACACAGCTAAATAATGTGCCCAAGAATGACCTGTAAAGTAAGAGAGTAAGAATTTGACAGAGTTGTTGATTAGAAGAGCAACATACAACTTTAATTGTAATGACCAATTAAAAATATAACAAAAAATTAATAGATAAAAGTCCCACTCACAGAAGCAACAGAAAGTAAGATGCCTAGGAATAAATTTGCCAAAAGATGTGACATAAAAGACAGTCTGCTGAACAGAGAGAGGTCATTCTGAACCATGCATGTGGAAATTGATCCATGTAACAGGAGTGCTGCTACTGATTAAGGAAAGTGGCTAGTTGATAGATGAAGTGAGAGAATTGATTCCTCTATTCATCTAGTTTCTATTTTTGCTCATTATACTAAAAAATATTTAGACTAAAAATGCTAACCTTGGAAATTTTTAGAAACAAATAAAAAATCAGAGACACTAATGCTAATTAAGAGAATGGATAATATATGGGAGCATAGTCATAGTCAATAATGGAATACTTAAAACTGTTCAAATATCTGAGAGTTAGGGCATTCACATGAATGACTCTTTAAAACAGAGGTCCTCAAACTTTTTAAACGGGGCCAGTTCACCGTCCCTCAGACATTCCACACATGCTCACTGCGGGCCCGGGACGAGTCGGCTGCTAAGCAGGACAGGCAGCGGCGGCAAAAACACCCGGCGGGCCGGATGAATGTTTTCGGCGGGCCGCACGTGGCCCACAGGCCGTAGTTTGAGGACCCCTGCTTTAAAATGTTGACTGAAAATGTTACAGAATATACATGTTAATATGTTGTTTATATTAAACAATGCTATATAGTCATGAATATGACATAAAAGTGTGTGCATGCATAGGAAAGATAAGCATCAAATTCAGGATGTGGTTGCCTTAAGGATGGAGGATGGTCACAGGGAGGGGAGTCAGAGCCTCAGTTGTGTCTTTAGTCTTTTTTTTTTTTAATGTTGAGGCAAATGTAAAGTAGTAAGATAGCCATAGTGGGGTGGTGAGTAAATGGGAATTGGGAATTGTATTCTCCATGTTTTCTGTGTGCTTGAAATATTTACTAAAATAAAAACCTGAAAACCAAGTGGCAGGCGGGAAGATGTGATGGAATTACCCAGAGGACAGCAGAGACTTGCACAGATCATTACAGAAGTGGCACGTGGGGTCAAGTGAGGGGCTCTGACAGAAGACGAGAGAGAGAGAGTTGGGGAGACAGTGAGCAAAAGGAAAATGGCTGAGGACCCTCCAGAATGGATGAGAGAGGAACCCCCAGACGTAGGGAAAGAAAGAAAAATGTTATCCAGACAAATTAGAAAGAAACAGAACACACAGGTGGCAGGTGTGGTCCCGTACACTCGCAGGGCATACTCTGCATGTGAAGTAAGAGAACGGCTCTATTACAGTGCAGTTCCTGCCGCAGGAGGTTTCTGGAGCCAGCTTTGTTGACTGAGGGGCACTAAGCTCTTAGCTGTCCATCCTCAGCCTCAGCCGCTCCTCCGTGCAGGAGGGAGGGTGCCTCTGGGCAGCGTGGGCTCCCGGGAGGACTGGCTTCCTGCCTGTCGTGTGTGAGACTGGACTCTGGCCAAGTCGGTGTGACAGCTGGGTCCGGCGCCGCCCTTGTGCACCGTGGCCGCTCCGTCCTGCCTTCTGCCCTCGGTGCACGTGCACGTCCACTCCAGGTCACACATGGAGGCCTTTGTGGTCTCGCCCTGTGACGGCAGCGGCATTTCCGCCTTCCTCCCTTTCCCCTGCTAGCCATGTACAACGCCTGCAGGGACGTGGAGGCCCCCTCGAGCAACGACAAGGCCCTGGGGCTCCTGTGTGGGAAGGAGGCCGCAGCCTGCAACGCCACCAACTGGATCGAGTACATGTTCAACAAGGACAACGGCCAGGCCCCCTTCACCATCACTCCCGTCTTCTCAGGTGGGCACGCGCTCAGGGCGGCGCAGTCAGGGTGTTAGCGCCCAGGAGCCTTCAGTGCAGCAGGAAGGTGAACCAGGCGGCAGCCTGGGTGTCCCTCCCCTGAGCGGGGGGCACTTGTCCTGCCCGGGTCATCGGGGTCACCGGGGTCTGGGAGGGGAGTGGAGGAGGAGGAGGACTTGCCTTCAGGTGTTGCTGCATGATTGAAAGGGTCACCTGGGCTTTTATTTAAAAAATAAAGGCCAAATCCTTGCAGAAGCCTAGTCAGGAGTTCTGCGCTTGTGTCAGCCTCGCTGCTCAGTGGGAACCAGGCCTTGGAAGGTGAGGCACTCAAATCTCAGCGACAAACCGTCTGTGCTCAGAGTTACCGCAGCAACTTAAAATTTTACAGGACTCAGCGGCAGCACAGACTCTGGTCAGACAGACACCTCCAGTCGTGCTATAGAGCTCAGGGTGCTTATCATTGGGTTTCAGTGTGTTTAACGCCAGCTCTGTAGTGTTTTTAAATTGAGACTGTCACTCAACACCGTCCTCGCTGCAGACCTCCCGGCCCACGGGATGGAGCCGATGAACAACGCCACCAAGGGCTGTGCCGAGCCCGTGGACGAGGTCACCGGGCCCTGCAGCTGCCAGGACTGCTCGGCCGTGTGCGGCCCCCGACCCCAGCCGCCGCCCCCTCCCGTCCCCTGGAGAATCTGGGGCCTGGACGCCATGTACGTCGTCATGTGGGCCACCTACATGGCGTTTTTGCTCATGTTTTTTGGAGCCATTTTTGCCGTGTGGTGCTATAGGTAAGCCGTTCGTTTGTCCTTCAGAGTAAGAAGAGCACATGACCCAGACCTTGGGCAGTTAGACAGGAAACGGTTCTGCACTAAAACCATCCCGTGATGCTTATGTCTGGCAACAGGAAACAACCAGGGCCTGTGCAGACACTGGGACTTAGAAGCTGGTCTCACTGATTCATTCAAAAGGATGTGAATTAGCACCGTGCAGAAACCACCCATTAGAAAGTCTTTGGAACCTAATCAGATGCAAATTTACTTAAATGCAATACTATGCTATAGTCCCTTTAGATATTTGCATTTTGATTTAGGACAGTTCATTTTATTTAACTTTTTATTTTAAAATAATTTTAGACTTAGGAGAAAGGTACGAAGATGTGCTGTGTGTGTTGTGTGTGTGTGTGGGGGGGGTGTCTTAATTCATACTTTATCCTTTACCCAGTTTCCCCTAATGTTGCAATTACATAACCCATCGTTTATAATTACCAAAGCCACGGAAATGACAGTGGTATAATCTTAGCTAAGCTACGGACGATATGAAAACCTGCCTGTTTCCCCTGTCGGACCCCACACTGCACCCCCTTTTGCGTTTCCTTGGTCTCCTCTAGCCGGTGACAGGTAGTGCCTTAGTCTTTCCCTTTTGTGACTTCGGCACTTCGGTGAGTCCTGGTCGGTTGTTTGTGGAATGTCCCTCGATTCAGCTTTACCGCTACTTCCTCCTGGTTGGGTGAGGCTGTGGGTTTTGCCCAGGAACCTCACAGCCCTGCTGTGGCACCTCTGTCAGCACGTCCTGCCGGGGGCACGTGATGTCAGCGAGTCCCCTTGCTGGGCGCTCCCCGTGAGCACTGGGCTCTCCGCGGTGGAGTTACTGTTTCTCTCTGTAGTTGATCGATGTCTTGGGGGAGAGACATGGACGCTGTGCGGCACTCTGTGAACTTGGGGGGCAGAGCACCATGGGAGGAGGAAGGAAGCTTTGAGCCGGAATGTCAGAGACCTCCTTGTGCTGAAACCCCCGATACTACTTACGTGCTTTCACTTTTCAGAAAACGGTACCTGGTCTCCGAGTACACCCCCATTGATAGCAGCATAGCTTTCCCGATGAGTGTCAGCGACACAGGTAGGCCCCTTGTACTTGAATGAAAGGGTGGGTTGTGCTGGGTGTTTATGCGCCTGTGGGGACAGACTGCTCCGGCCGAGGACAGTTCTGAGCAGGACAGACAGGCCCTGCCATGTCACTACAGGCTAGTGGGGCGGCAGGTCGGAGCCAGGTAATTACCAGCAGCCGTGGGTGACCGTGGGCAGGGACCATGGGCGGGGACAGAGCTGGGTGCTGACCAGGGCTGAGGCGGGAGCAGCAGGGAAGGTTACGGAGCTGCTGAGCTCAGGGTGCCAGAGAGCTGGCCTTTCAGAGGCGGGTACCTGAGCATCGTCCTCCTGGGGTGGGCCTGGCGGTCATGGTGGGCAGGCAGGAAGGGTGGCCTCCAGGCAGGTAGGATGCTGAGGGCCAGCGCACGGGGAGGTGCAGCCAGGACTCCTGCCAGGTGGAGGCGTAGCTGATGCTTTCCCTGCCCAACGTTCAGGGATGGCCTGGCCCTTACCACCCCCACTTCTCCTCCAGGGGAGGCCTCCTGCTGCGACCCGCTTGGCGCCGCATTCGAGGGCTGCTTGAGGCGGCTCTTCACCCGGTGGGGCTCCTTCTGTGTCCGAAACCCCGGCTGTGTCATTTTCTCCTCCCTGGCCTTCATCGCCGCCTGCTCCTCGGGCCTGGTGTTCGTCCGCATCACCACCAGCCCCGTGGACCTCTGGTCGGCCCCCAGCAGCCAGGCGCGCCTGGAGAAGGAGTACTTCGACACCCACTTCGGGCCTTTCTTCCGCACGGAGCAGCTCATCATCCAGGCGCCGCACACCGCCGTGCACACTTACGAGCCCTACCCCTCGGGGTCCGACGTGCCCTTCGGACCTCCGCTCGACAAAGGGATCCTGCACCAGGTAACCTGCGCCTCGCAGACAGCGGTTCCAGGGCACACGGTGGTTTGCCGGCTTCACCACCAGCTCTGGGTGTGAGTGTGGTGGGAGATTAAAAACCTTAATGGTGGAAGTAAAGCGAGTCCCCAGGAAGGTGAATGGCAGGTGTTGTATGTGCTGCATGTGGTCGGTCTTGCTTCTTCTAGAAGCTGGGGTGAGTGTTTCTGGACTGAAGCGTCTGTGTTCTAGTTCCCTTGGGAACCTGTGACTCTCCCGCTGGGCATTTAGAGATAATGTGCTAGAACCCAGAGGCTTGAGCCCGCCGGTCCTGGGCCCTGGGCAGAGCGGCCACTGCTCTGCCCTCAAGGGTGACAGTGCCACTGGCTGCAGCTACTGAGGCATCTGGGACGAGATCCACCTGTTCTCCCCATCGCGCTGGCCCCGGGGAAATGTGCCTGTGGACACACTGCCTCCCGCCTCCTGTTTAATCAGCGGTTGCACAACGGCATTAAACGTTAGGCTTTAGGGGGTGTTGGTGTGAGGGGCGTGTCGAAGGAGAAGGCCTGCTTCTCCCTGCTGGCCCTTCTGGTCACTGCTGCTCCCTGCCGGTCACTGCTGGAGAAGGGTGCGAGGGATGAGGCTCATGTGCTCTGCCTGGTGATGGGGTTGCCTCCCCATCTCTCTGGACGCCTCGATATAGGGTCCCCATCCCAGTTTGCCATCTTGGGTGTCATCAGATGCCCTGCCACACTGCCCCCGTCCGCTCTGCTCCGTCTGAGGAAGGGTTTCCCGCAGGTACTCTATCTTCTGACCCCTCGGCAGCAGGGATGAGTCAGACTCTGAGAAATCTGATGTGTTTCCGGATTTGTATCTTGTTTCAGGTTCTTGACTTACAAACAGCCATTGAACACATCACTGCATCTCACAACAACGAGACGGTGACCCTCCAGGACATCTGCTTGGCCCCGCTCTCGCCGTATAACAAGAACTGCACCATCCTGAGTGTGTTAAATTACTTCCAGAACAGCCACTCCGTGCTGGACCACGAGATAGGGGACGACTTCTATACCTACGCGGATTACCACACGCACCTGCTGTACTGTGTCCGGTATGTGGCAGGTCGCTCGCTCGCCCCCCACCGACCTCCAAGCGCTTGCTGCTGCTGCACCCCGTGTGGGCCTGGAGCCTGGGTGAGCACGGAGGCAGATGTCCCAACAGAGGGGGCCGGGGTGCAGCCCTGGTGCCAGGCAGAGGCGGGCGTGGAGATGGTGAGCCAGGCAGGCAGGCAGGTGCCGGCTTTGGGGTGGGGCTGCTCAGAGGGAGAGGGAGGGAGCTGTGAACTCGGAGGAAGAGTCCACAGTGGACGGAGCGGCGAGTCCAGGCCCAGGGGCATCATCGGTCACACAGCCACACACACAAACGTGAACGCTGCGGTGCCTTCCTTATCGTTCATATGAGTTTATGTGAGGACAGGAATGGTCTTGAACCGGACAGTGTCCCCTTGCCGAGGGCGGCCGGCGGGGGCAGGTTTAGATTCGGGCAGGAAAGCTGCTTCCTGCAGGAGGCGTGTCTGGCTGGCAGAGTGTTTATAATTCAGGCAGTCAGGGGAGGCCCCTGACGCCCTGCCCTGTGCCCTGGCCTGGCCTGGACACGCCTGTTCAGCCGGTCAGACATCACCAGGGCTGTTCTTCACGGGGGAGGTGCTCTGGCCATCTTGGCGGGCGCCGCGTCTCAGGAGTGGAGCGCTCTGACTCCTTGCCTGGTGTGATGACCTTACGTTCTGTCTGTTCTTATTCCTAAATGTGACCCTTTCTGGGCTGAGCTCCTGGCTGTCCTCCCTGGGCCTGGCACAGACCCCGACTGTCTCCCTGCCCCCTCTTCCCCGCACACAGACCTCCTTCGCTTTGCTCGCAGTTGTCTTTGGAAAGCAGCCCCTTCCCTGTCCCAGGTCTCCTTATTCCCGTGCCTTCAGGATGAAACACGACACTTAGCCCGGCATCTGTCACTTCCCAGGCCTCTCTCTCTCTCTCTCTCTCTCTCTCTCTCTCTCTCTCTCTCTCTCGGGCCCCCCAACCCCATGCCTGTTCTGGACACAGGACTTCTTGTACCTGAGGTGCAGGGAACAGCCTACTCCCTCCCGGTGGATTCTCCCTGGGCCTGGGGCCTGGCTCTGCACGCGCTGCTGGTGCAGGGACTGTTCTTCCTGCATTAGCTGCTCCCTGTCTGAGTCACGTCGTGCTGTTTCCTGCCTCGCTCAGGGAGTCCTGAGGAGCCTTAGGGCCCACGTGATGCTTGGATTTGTGAATGTTCTGTTGAATACATGAGTGACAAACGGGGTGGCCTGGTCAGCAGTCAGGTCTCGGATGGCCCGAGGCTGGTTCTAACGGGCTGTCTCCTCGCAGGGCTCCTGCCTCGCTGAACGACACCAGCCTGCTGCACGACCCCTGCCTGGGGACGTTTGGGGGGCCTGTGTTCCCGTGGCTGGTGCTGGGAGGCTATGACGGTGAGTGAGAGAAGAGTGGCCTTGATTGACAGTCCCGTGGAAGTCATAAAGGCTTTACACATTGAACACTTGTATTAATCTCCTGTTTCTTCAATCCCAAATGCAATATCTCCTGTGGGTTTGGGTTTTTCTGGATTTGGGTCACACTTTAGGAAGCTGTTGAAAGTTAAGGGTGTGTCCCTGGAATAATGTAATTGCATACGTCACACCACATGCAGTGCAGCCTCAGGCACTCCCCAAACCCGGGGAGCCCACCTGTAGGACCTCACGGGATCCGGGAACCTCAGGCTGAGAACCCCTGTGAGGGGAAGAGACGCCGTGCCAGGTGGAGACCCAGAACACTGGTGGATTCTTTCCTTTCTAAACCAATTGGCTGAGAGCGCAGACACAGTTAAGGGAGGGGAGCCATTGGCTGAGAGCGCAGACACATTTAAGGGAGGGGAGCCATTGGATGAGAGCGCAGACACATTTAAGGGAGGGGGAGCCATTGGCTAAGAGCGCAGACACATTGAAGGGAGGGGAGCCATTGGATGAGAGCGCAGACACATTGAAGGTAGGAGGAGCCATTGGCTAAGAACGCAGACACATTGAAGGGAGGGGAGCCATTGGCTGAGAGCACAGACACATTTAAGGGAGGGGAGCCATTGGCTGAGAGCACAGACACAGTTAAGGTGGGGGAGCCATTGGCTGGCTCTTTGCTGGTCCCCCAGCACCTCGGGGTGGGTGCCCGGCCGTGGGTGCTGACTCACAGGGCAGCTCTGGCATCTGAAGCCTAATTACGGCGACTCGTGGGTTCCCCCCCCCTGCCCTAATGCAGAGGCGGGATGTCTCCTAAGCCCTGCTCTGCCCGGAATAAAGTGCCATTTCTGTGGTGGGAAAGACGGCACCAGCTTGCTAGTCACAGCCGTCAATTAAATTTGATCTCTACCTTATTCCTTCCACCAAAATACATTCCAGATGGACCCCAGGTTGAAATGTAAGAAGGGAAACTATAAAGGATTAGAAGACAATACGGGAGGAATTTTTAAATGGAGAAGGCATTTCTAGCAAGATAAAACTCAAGGCCGCCCCAGGAATCACTGATGGATTTGACTACGTGAGAACTTTAAGTTCCTCCCTGGAGAGCAAATGCCATAAGGTTTTAAAAATAAAAGCAATAAACTGGAGAAAAATTAGTATACATAATAGCATTTCTTTAATATATAAAGAGCTCTTGTGTAAAAAGAGAAAAGGAGGGAAGCCATATGCCAGTTAACATTACAGAGGGGACATGCTCCACCCCACTCCTAGGCAGTGAGGGGCACTCACTCAGTCTTCCTGCCTCACAGGTGAGCACAGGGCTGGGAGCTCGGAACCGATGGGTGACGCGGGGAAGCCACAGGTGGGCGTGTGAACTGGGGCCTAGAGTATAAACTCCAGGAAAAGGCAGGGGTCTCATCTCCTCTGTTCACTGATGTATCCATGGTACTTCAGTCCTGCCGGGCACTAAAGTGTCTCAGTAAATATTCTGTTGAGTGAAAAATAGGGTAGAATTTTGGTGGGCAATTTGGGAGAATCAGTCACAATTAGAAATGCACAAACGTTTTGACTCGGTGATTGTAAGAATTGATTCTACAAATATGTACTTTGCATATTAAAAATAGAAGGTTAGTCCTTGTAGTAACTTTGTTGGTGATTTTAAAAACTAACAATATCCATCAGTGGGAGGTTGGTTACATTATACTAGACAATGTTGTACAGCAGAAAAAGAATAAGGAAGCTCTTTCTGTACTAAAAGGAAACAGCCTCAAGATACAAACGTAAGAGCATGATGTGCAGAGTAGTACGCGGCTGTTGTATAAAGAGAAGGGGTGGGGGTATGTGTGTTTGTGCCTCTGAGGACTGTCCTGGCAGAGTCCCAGGATGGGCAGGCCAAGAGAGAGCGAGGAGAGGAAGGGGAGGGAGCTCACAGCACCGCTCGGCTCTGCTGGGATGTGTGCTGCGGAATAAATAAAGGGGCGTCTTCCCGGATGGCAGTGTGTGCTGCTTCCACAGGGACCGTTTCATTTGTTCTCCATGCTTCGCAGGCACCGTTTCAGGAACTGCTGTTCCGAGCGCGCGGGGCGTGGTCTGCAGCCCGGGGGGAAGTCGCCAGCTGTCCCGTCACTGCCCCTTGCACTGACCTACTTTTCTGCAAGCTGGTAACTTGTCGATGTCACATTTTTCCTTTCTAGATCAAAACTACAATAACGCCACCGCCCTGGTGATGACCTTTCCGGTCAATAATTACTACAACGACACGGAGAAGCTCCAGCGGGCCCAGGCCTGGGAAAGAGAGTGAGTGCTCGCAGGGGGTGTGGGACGCTGGGCACCAGCAGAGACCACCTGGGCCTCCTCCGCTAAACTAACCCTCCACCCCACCCCCATCTGAGTGATGTCTTTTCACTCATTACCAGTGAGATCTGTGAGTAAACGTACCTAAAAACATTGTGTGAACAGATCTCCCTACACAAAAGTGTATATGCAGAAACTTTTCCTTCATCGTGTTCTAACAGCAAAAACCGGGAGCTAGCTGGATGTACGTTACTAGGAAGGGATACGTAAGTCGAAAGTGCGCAGTCGTTCAGACAAGTGGTAAGTGGTTCAAGATGCACTAAATAAACTCGCAGTCAGCACGTGTGAGTGAGCATATGCTGCCCACGCCGCCCACGCCCAGGAAGCTGTCCAGGCCGGTGTCACCGTGTCTGCGCCTCCAGGGAACGGGGCGACGTGAGGAGGACGGGCTGTGCCTCTCCCTTCATCATCTGCATCAAGTGCATTCTCCTAAAAAGCAGCTTTATCAAGACTGATCCACACCATACATTTCACTCCCTTAGTGAGAGCGCTCAGTCCAGCAGCTTTAGTATATTCACAGATGATGTGCCGCCGTCACCACAGCCAATGGTAGGGCGGTCTTGACCTCAGAACGCAGCCCCGCCCCTTTAGCGACCACCCCCACCCTCTCGTCCTCCCCTCCCAGCCTGTGCAGCCACTGACTGCTTTCTGTCTCCATGCACTTTCCTAATCTGGACTTGCCTATATGCATGGAATCGTGTGTGAGATTCTGTGTCTGGCACCTTCCATGTAGCACAATGCAGTCAAGGTTAATCCAGGCTGCGGCACGTGCCGGTCCTTTCCTTTCTGCGGCCGCGTGCCGGTCAGTCCGTGGACAGAGCAGGTTCTGGTATCCATTCACCCGCCGAGGCAGGCGGGCGGTTCTCCTGTGACTGCTGCGAATAATGCTGCTGTAGACATTTGTGCACGAGCGTCTGTGGGAACTTCTTATTTCTCTGGGTGTGTGCTACGATTAGGACGGGAGGGCCACATGGTCACTCTGAGGAACTGCCAGCCGGTTTTCCAAAGGGACTGCACCACTTTCCGTTCCCACCGCAGTGTGTGGCCGTGTCACGTTCCCCGTCCTTGTCAGCACAGCCTTGTCGGGCTGTGATGTGGTTCCCTGGTGCCTGACGACTTCTAGCATCTCTTCACGCCCTTACTGCCTCCGCATTGCCTCCTCAGAGAGGTGTTTATTCATATTCTTTATCCTTTTTTTAGCTGGTCATTTGTATTTTTATGATTGAAGTATAAGAATTCTTATATAGCCTACAAGTCCCTTATCAGATAACATGATTTCCAAGTATTTTCTCTCATTTTTTGGTTTTTGGTTTTTTGCTTTCTTGACGGTGTTCTCTGAGACACAGTCCTTTTTAACTTTGATGAAGCCCAATTAATCCATTTTTTCTTTTGTTGCTCGTGTTTTTTGTGTCATGGCTGGGAACCCTAACCCCCGGACGTGCAGATTTATGTCTGTGCTTTTCTAAGAGTTTTATTGTTTCAGCTCTCACATTAGGTCTTTGGTCCTTTCGAGTTCATTTTTGGGTATGGTGTGAGGTAAAGGTTCAGCGTTCTCTTGCATGTGGCTCTCCAGTTGTCCCAGACCATTTGCGGAAAAAGTTAGTCTTTTCCGCCGTTTGCTCCTCTGTTGAGAAGTAAGTGGACTCTGGTTCTGCTCCTTCGCTCTGAATGTGTAGCCTGGCGCGGGCAGTGCACTCCTGTTCACTCTTGTTTTGTGATGAGTTTGAAGTCAGGACATGCGGACCCTCCTGCTTGTTCTTGTAATAGCAGGTTTAGCTCTTCTGGGCCCCTTGCGATTCCCTGGGAATTTTAGCATCAACTCACCATCCCGCAAAGGAGTCAGCCAGTTCTGATAGGGCTTCTTTAACCTGTGGTCAGCTTTTAAATTATACTCCACAAGCATGTATCTTTATCACAATGCACAGACTTCACTTAGAAATCTTTTTAGTAAAAAGAATGAGACCAGGAACCGATTTCCGAATTTGTCCCAAACCGATTTAAATGGCAGAAAACTCAGCATGTCTGGCACTGTCTCCCTCCCGTCTCCAGCAGAGAAGATCTGAGTGCAGATAAGGCTACGTACGCGTGGCTTTTGTCAGAGAAGCTGGGGAGCCCCGGCCGGGTGACTCGGTTGTCCCCATATGCCAGGGCTCAATCCTCAGGGCTCACACAGGAATCAGCCCACGAGTGTGCGAATAAGTGGAACAACAAGTCAGTCTCTCTTTTCCTCCCTAAAAAAGTTAATAAATAAAAATTAAAAAAACTTTTTTTAGAAGTTGGGAAGAAGTCCCTCACTTTGCTTTCACTCAGTTTTAACTAAAAATATAAACTTCTTCGTACTCTTTAGGTTTATTAACTTTGTGAAGAACTACAAGAACCCAAATCTCACCATTTCCTTCACTGCTGAGCGAAGTATTGAAGATGAACTGAACCGTGAGAGTAACAGTGACATCTCCACCGTGGTGACCAGCTATGCCGTCATGTTTCTGTACATTTCCATCGCCTTGGGGCACATCCAGAGCTGCAGCAGGCTTCTGGTGAGGGTCTGTGGTGTGGAGATGTGGTGTCTGTGTTGTTAGGAGTGGAGGGTGCAGCCTAGGCCCTATTTTTGTCTCTTAATTTATCATGTTCAAACCTGCCTCAAATTCCCCTGTGCTTTGTTAGTTGTATGTAACATTCCCTATTCCCTGCATTTATTTTCCTCAGTTCCAACTTTTTGGTTTATCTTCAACTTAAAATTAATTTCACATGGTCCAAGTTTTTCTAATTTGTCTACTTATCACCTAAGAATGGAAGCTCATAATATAACTTCTTTAGGAAGACCTAGACAATTTTTCTTATTTTTTCTCAAACTGGGAGTTGAGCGTTTAGCTCCAGATGGGCCGTCCCATGTGGCGGGCGGAGACGAGGACTTTAGTGGCAGGTCGGACAGGGCGTGCTGACAGCCGGCGTCTTTGTTGTGTCTCAGGTGGATTCCAAGGTCTCCCTCGGCATCGCGGGCATCTTCATCGTGCTGAGCTCGGTGGCCTGCTCGCTGGGCATCTTCAGCTACGTTGGGGTCCCCCTCACCCTCATTGTGATCGAGGTCATCCCCTTCCTGGTGCTGGCGGTCGGGGTGGACAACATCTTCATTCTGGTCCAGACCTACCAGGTGCGTGTCATGTCTCACGGAGTGTGGCAGCCAAGGGCGAGCTCCGTGAGCGCTGCTCGGCTCCACACAGAGTGTGTGTGCGGACACTCAGACACCTCCTTCCCTCTGTGGCGCCCGACACTTGTTCTGCATATTGGGGACCAAGAAGTTCACCCCCTCTTTGGTTGGTATGATAAAGTGAGAATCTGATTTTAAACATGTTCAATACAGAGTGACCCAAAAGAATGTGTATGTACACACTTTAACAGCTGATTCTATTACATTTGAAAATGAAGTGTATTTTTAAAAACACTGCCTTTATAATTATCGAAAGTGTGTGCATACATTTTTGGGGACACCCTCTGCACATGCAAAAAGGGCTGACGGGCTGTGGAGAGTACTTTGGTGCAAGTGCTGTGGAATGATTCTCCGCACAGCGTGGAAGGAGAGACTGTCAGAGGGACCACTAACAGGACGGCAGGTCAGCACAGGACCCGCCAGGTAGAAAACGGTCTCCATCACTGTTCTCACCTGGCCCCGCCTTGTCCGTGGCCTTCCCTGCGTGGGACTCAGTGGCCCTAAGTGGCACGTCATTTCACCATCGGCTGCCTGCAGCCTGCACCCCATGTACTTTCCTCAGAAGTGACCCAACCTTTGCTGGAGCCTCACCTGTCACCTCGCCCAGGGGTCAGGAACACCCTGAGTGAACTAGCCTGAGGCCTGCCGGGTCCCCCACCAAAGATTACGTTCAATCCGTAGATGCCACTAACCATTTTCCTTTACTGTTAACACAGAAGCAAAGCGGTGGCGTGGTGACTGAGAAACGTTCATGTTGCATGCTTATTTTTTTAAAGAGAGACGAACGCCTTGAAGGGGAGACCCTGGACCAGCAGCTGGGCAGGGTCCTGGGAGAAGTGGCCCCCAGCATGTTCCTGTCGTCCTTTTCAGAGACGGTGGCCTTTTTCTTAGGTAATCGGCTGCAGCTGCTGGGGAGGAGGCTGGTGTGGGACGTGCCCCCCTGCTCTTCCTTCTTGAGCTGCACTGAGCGGGGAGGTGCCATGTGGACGCCGGAGAGCGTGGGACAGGTCCTGGTGTCCGTTAGCCAGTGTCTTCTTTCTGCGTCTTCCAGGCGTGTCTCTCTTGGGGTCCAGGTGCCTAGGACTCCTCTGCCACTTCCCCTGTCTGGCACCCATGGCAGATGTTGGTATTTGAAAATAGCTTCTCGCACAGCCACGGGTTCCTCAAAACAGCCCTCCAGGCAGCAGCTCCAAACCGCAGGCAGCCGCTGCAGGGCACGTACGCTGTTGTCCAGGCAGTCGTCCTGTGCACGCGCTCATGGGACCAGCGTGGTGATAAGCTGGGTTCTCGGGTCTTTCCTCAGCCCAAGGAGCTGGAACAGAACCAGCACTTTCACAGTCCTTCCTCCTGGGGAAGTCAGCCAGTCCTGGGGCCGCTGTCTCTGCCGCCTCTGGTGTGTAGTGAGAGAAGCGGCTCATCCTCTGGAGAGGAGGCCGGTCAGGCTCGCCCAGAAGTCAGAGAAGACACAGCCCACACATGCCTGTGGGCCACCAGGCCTTCACGGCGAGTAGGAGCCTCGCAGGGGCAGCCTCAGCACGGACACGTCAGCTTCCATTCCCATGGAGCCCTGAGCCCTGCGACCCGCGGCCTGAGCTCCTCTCATGGTGCAGGTGCAAAGCAGCTAGTTCCCCTCTCAGCTCCAGGGCGAGTGGGAGGGTAGGCGCAGCTGCTGCACCTCAGGCGGACATAGGGGAGACATGGTGGGGGCTGCGGGGCAGGTCCGAGCCCGCGTCCTATCCTGTCCAGTGTGTCGCTGGCCCAGTGCTGCGGGCGAGTTTTTCCTCAGCAGCACTGAGAAGCGGACTCACTGTTAAACGTGGACTCCTGGTTTTATCTCCTAAGTGCTTTACGTTAAGATGGTTTATAGGGTGTGGGCCAAGCAGGCTTCAGTGCCTGTGGGCCCGGAGTGGCCAGCTTCAGTGAGTCTGAGCCGTGCTGTGGGCGTGGAGCTCCCTCATGTGGCTGTAAATACACAGAGAGACTGATGTTGGTGTGACAGCAGATGGGAACGTGTCCCTCTTACGGGGGCAGGGAGGGCACCGTAAGAATGGCCTGTGCTAGTGGCTTTCAAGTATTGATGTGCATACATTGGCTCAGAGAGCCTATGAAATACTCGGGAATTGGGTTGAAGTCCACTGTCTGGTTAAGCGGGATGGGGCCGAGCCCAGGAACCTGCATTTTAACTCCCAGGTGGTTCTGATGCTGACAGCCTCTTCTCAGCTCGGGTACCCTCCCGAGACCAGCACCCTTTGGGGGTGGGGGGAGGGGAGCAGCTCCTCGTGTTCTATGGACCCGGGAGCGTGCGACGCGCCAGCGCCCTCTGCGGTGAGTGGCAGTGACGACCGCCTCCCTCCCACCCGCCTCCCCAGGAGCCCTGTCGGTGATGCCCGCCGTGCACACCTTCTCGCTGTTTGCCGGGATGGCCGTCCTCATCGACTTCCTGCTCCAGATCACCTGCTTCGTGAGCCTCCTGGGCTTGGACGTTAAGCGTCAGGAGGTGAGTTGTTACCAGATTGCAGCCTGTTTCACCTGCGTCTGGAGTCTGACGCGCTGGAGGGCATGACCTTTGCTCCCTTTGTCCCTCAGAACAACCGGCTGGACATCCTGTGCTGTGTCCGCGGCGGCGAGGATGGCGCCGGCCTCCAGGCCTCCGAGAGCTGCTTGTTCCGCTTCTTCCGAGACTCCTACTCCCCACTGCTGCTCAAGGCCTGGATGCGGCCGATCGTGGTGGGAACTCACTGGGTTTCCTTCCTGTTTTCTCCCGGCACAGACTCTGTCCCGTGCCTCCTAAGAACCGCACGCATGGGGTCCGACAGCTGTCAGCTGCGTGTGCAGAAACAAAGCTGATACGGACAAATACGTACTAGTAAATGCTTATTTTTTTAAATATATTTTTATTGATTTCATAGAGGAAGGGAGAGGGAAAGAGATAGAAACATCAGTGTTGAGAGAGAATCATCAATCGGCTGCCTCCTGCACGCCCCCTACTGAGGATCGAGCCTGCAACCTGGGCATGTGCCCTAACAGAGTTGAACCCTGACCTCCTGGTTCATAGGTCAATGCTCAATCGCTGAGCCACGCTGGCCGGGTCGTAAATGTTTTTAGCTATTTTTTTGCAGTCAATGTAAGCAAGAGCTTTTGTTTTGAGTTTTTATTTTGGAATAATTAGAGGTTGAGTTGCAAGGTTCAGAGGGGCCCAGATTCCCTTCGCCCAGTTCCTCCTGTGTCTCATGTAGTTGTAATTCAGTCTCAAAACCAGGACTTGGACTGGGCACAGCGGGCGGGTCTGGTTCCTGTCCTTTTATCCCACGTGAAGATTCATGGACCTGCCACACAGTGAAGATCCGTAACCGGGGTCTCCCGTGCTGCCCCCTAAGTGTCGCCCCCCCCCCCAGCCCCCGCAGCACCTCGATCTCTGGTCCTCGCGGCCAGCAGAGCTGTTTATAGTTTCTATGCGGGATGTGGCCCCAGCTGCTGTCTGTCACTGCTCCACTAAGAGAACGTTAGTTTCCAGTGACGGTGGAAGGGAGCAGCTGTGGCTCACTGAGCACTGGTGTCAGGTGCTGCGCTGAAGTCTAGATCATGCCTAGATTTTCCTCGTTTCGTCCACGGAACTGGCTGGCGTTAGAGTCTTCGTGTCCCTGGTGTGTTGAGGAGATGGGAGCTAAGAGGCTCAGTGCTTCCCCGTGTCCCCCGCGTGCGGAGGGGCCGCTGTGAGCCGGGTGGTCCGACTCTGGACGCCCGTCCTCCGTGTGCTGGGCGTGCCGTTCAGGCTTGCTGTCCAGTGTAGGGGGGGCTGTGCTCTGTGTGCGGAGCCTCACTCAGCTCCTTGTAACCAGCAGTGCTTCTGTGACCCACCCCGTTCCAGATGGCCGTGTTCGTGGGCGTTCTCTCCTTCAGCATCGCCGTCCTGAACAAGGTGGAAATTGGATTGGACCAGTCTCTCTCAATGCCAGAAGTAAGATGCCTTTATTTTAACTTACTCAGTCAGGGGTGGATACATGTCCAAATGTGCACACAGATGGTGCAGGTTAATGCCTGCTGTGCCTGCCAGTGCTGACGGGGCCTCCTGTGACCTCAGCTGCCACAGGCTGTGCCCGTGGGGCCTGGCATTATGAGCCCAGACAGTGCTGGGCACAGCACAGGTGCGAGCAGCAGGCTGACCCTGTGAGGTGCCCTCCTGACAGCGGGACCTGCGGGAGCACCAGAGCCCAGGAGGGTGGGAACGGGACCAGCTATGCAGGGAGTCCTGACTGGGCCTCATCAGGCGCCCTCAGCGCGCCCACACTCGTCCTGCTGCCTCTTCTTCCAGGACTCCTACGTGATGGACTATTTCAGGTCCCTCAGCCGGTTCCTGCACGCGGGCCCACCCGTCTACTTCGTGGTGGAGGAGGGGCTGGACTACACCTCCCTGCAGGGGCAGAACCTGGTGTGCGGGGGCATGGGCTGCAACAACGACTCGCTGGTGCAGCAGCTGTTCGACGCGGCCGAGCTGGATGCCTAGTGAGTACCTCCCCCGGCTGCCTGATGAAAGTCCTCCCTGAAAAGGTATTTTCTCGGGAAATGAGGTTTTCAGAACATGTGCTGACTCGAGCCTTCCCTGAGCAAAGCCTTTAGAGGACTAACGTACCGCCTGGGCCTCAGGGTTCCATGAAGGGCCAGTGCCGTGTCCTTCCGCCCGGCAGCAGCGTTGAGTGCAGCCAGGAAGCTGGGTGTCACGAGCAGGGCCGGGCCTGGGGCTCCCGGGGCAGGCAGTCACGCCCCTCTCCCCCCAGCACCCGGATCGGCTTCGCCCCCTCGTCCTGGATCGACGACTACTTCGACTGGGTCAAGCCGCAGTCCTCGTGCTGCCGGGTCCACAACGGCTCCGGGCAGTTCTGCAACGCCTCGGGTACGTCGCCCCCAAGTCTGTCCTGCTTTTCTGGGAAGCGTGGTGGCGTGGAAATCGCGTGGCACTCCCCTCCGCGTGTGCCCACTCCCTGCCTGCGCTGTCCCCCCTCCTCAGTCGCTCGCGGTCCCCCCAGGGCTGCAGGCTGAGCCAGGCCTGAGGCAGGAGCTCTGCTTTCAGAGTTGGGGTTTCTCGTCTTTTCCGACGACACCGGTCGCCTCCTGCTGGGTATCGGCCATCTGCTCTGTGGCTGCCCTGTGGTCGCTGAGAGTCGAGGTTGTCCCACCGTTTCCTTGATAAACACGTGGGAGCCCTGGCTCTGTGATGCCCATGAGGCCCCTTCACGCAGGGCAGGACGTGTTACAGCCAAGATGGAGGTGGCATCTCAGTCAAATGCGTGCGACTGTGAAACACAGGAGCTTGAGCTTTTGGATAAGGAAAAGGATTCAGGAAAAGATACTCATAAATGTTTTAAAGTGAAATCTGGAGACCCATTCTCTTCTCCTTGGCTCCTTCCTCGTTTCTGCTAGTGGCCGACCCTGGCTGCATCCGCTGCAGGCCTCTGACTCCCGAGGGCAAACAGCGGCCCCAGGGGGGAGACTTCATGCGGTTCCTGCCCATGTTCCTCTCCGACAACCCGAACCCCAAGTGTGGCAAAGGGTAAGTGAGCCCGTGATGTGTACCCACCTGTTTGCACAGAAAACTCGGGGAGGGCGGGGGAGCCACGGTGTGTGGGAGAGGCCCTCTTTCCACCCCTCCTCACCCTTTCCTGATCTCTGGGAGAGAAAGAAACCCCAAAACACCTTCCAGGAAGCTCCTCGCTGCATCTTGGCTGGGCACTTGCTCCCTGGGCATCTCTGTCCGGCCCTCCTGCTGGTCCATGGGCAGAGAGGAGTGGTCTGTTCCCTGTCTGTGGGCGCAGGGGCCAGTGTCTGCTCGGGTGAGGTCATCCTAGGTCCGTGGTCGGCAAACCGCGGCTCGCGAGCCACATGCGGCTCTTTGGCCCCCTGAGTGTGGCTCTTCCACAAAATACCACATACGGGCGCACATGTACAGTGCAATTGAAACTTCGTGGCCCATGCGCAGAAGTCGGTATTTTGTGGAAGAGCCACACTCAAGGGGCCAAAGAGCCGCATGTGGCTCACGAGCCGCAGTTTGCCGACCACTGTCCTAGGCTAAGGCTTAGATGGTTTGGGCCCTACTGTGCTGCTCCCCAGCCTGTGCCTGCAGCCAGGCCGCTGTCCCCACAGAAGCAGGACGTCTGGCCTGGAGATGGGGATCCCGGGGGAGGGGAGGCAGCTCGGGAGCTGTCGTAGGAGAGGATGCGTGTCAGGGAGGCCCGGGCGTCCTGTTTTCTCCCGGGAATACAGATTGGTCCCGAGTCCATCACTCGTTAGTCACGGAGGGCACGTCTGTTCTGAGACCTGTCCCAGGCTCTGGGAGTGAAGTGAATAGAAATGGACCTTGCGTCTGGGTCTGGGTGCAGACTGAGTCTGTCCTACACAGAAGGAGCCCTGTGAGCTCAGCCTGCACGAAGCAGTGGCCACCCCTCTGTGCCGTGTCCTGCAGGCACCACCACCTCATTCCCCAGCTCGTCACGCGGCCGCGTCAGCGGTGTGCCCGTCCGCAGAGACGATACTGCGCCCAAATGCAGGGACCTGCCGAGGGTTCCGGGCCACTCTGCAGGCCGACCTCACGCGGCCTCACCCCACGGCCTTCCTTCCCCACTTCCTGTTTCACATCATTGCTGAGCAGACTCATATGAAAACGCATTGGCTGAGAGCAGAGCCAGATGAGAAACAGTAGCAGCTGTGCACCAACCGCCAGAGTGGGGAGAAGCCAGAGGGAGGCAAGAGCCAGCCCTTCAGCGTCCCCACGAGGGCCTGCCCTGCGCCCGGCCAGTGGCCCTCCTGTGCCTGCGCGGACTCTGACACCACTGTTTTCTCTCAGGGGACATGCTGCCTACGGGTCGGCCGTTAACATCCTGGGCAATGACACAGGTGTGGGCGCCACCTACTTCATGACCTACCACACCGTGCTCCAGACCTCTGCTGACTTCATCGACGCCATGAGAAAGGCCCGGCTCATTGCTGGTAACATCACCCAGACCATGAGCCAGGGAGGAAGCAACTACCGCGTGTTTCCATACAGGTGGGTGTGGCTTGTACACATGGGGTGTCCTAGGGACGGGCCACACCTGTCCGGCAGGGGACAGCCCTCACCTGTCCACCAGGGGACGGCCCTCACCTGTATGGCAGGGGACGGCCCTCACCTGTATGGCAGGGGACGGCCCTCACCTGTCCGGCAGGGGACGGCCCTCACCTGTATGGCAGGGGACGGGCCACACCTGTCCGGCAGGGGACGGCCCTCACCTGTATGGCAGGGGACGGCCCTCACCTGTATGGCAGGGGACGGCCCTCACCTGTATGGCAGGGGACGGGCCACACCTGTCCGGCAGGGGACGGCCCTCACCTGTATGGCAGGGGACGGCCCTCACCTGTATGGCAGGGGACGGCCCTCACCTGTATGGCAGGGGACGGCCCTCACCTGTATGGCAGGGGACGGCCCTCACCTGTATGGCAGGGGACGGCCCTCACCTGTATGGCAGGGGATGGCCCTCACCTGTATGGCAGGGGACGGGCCACACCTGTCCGGCAGGGGACGGCCCTCACCTGTCCGGCAGGGGACGGCCCTCACCTGTCCGGCAGGGGACAGCCCTCACCTATATGGCAGGGGACGGCCCTCACCTGTCCACCAGGGGACAGCCCTCACCTGTATGGCAGGGGACAGCCCTCACCTATATGGCAGGGGACGGCCCTCACCTGTCTGGCAGGGGACAGCCCTCACCTGTCCGGCAGGGACGGATGTTTTTCTGGGACAAGCTCTCAGAGGGGTGTCCTGATTCCTGGGAAAAGCTGTGAACTTGGCAGAAAACCAGTTCTCCTCTGGCCCTGCACAGCCCCATTGGCCTGAGATAATTTTGAGATAGAGCAGAACTTGTTTTTTCAAAATACCCTGGAATAGTCTTTGTACATGCCTGCAAAGCAGGGTAGGCTGGGATTATGATCAAAAACTTTATATAAAAGACGGGCATAGGGTCATTGCTAGGCCTGGGGGGCAGTGGTCATCGCACGCCCGCTGAATCGCTGCCCCGATTCCTGCCACCCCGGGGGTGTTGTGCACGGCTCTGCTGCCTGCTCCTGGGGCGGCACGGCGGCAGGAGGGGGTGGAGCTTCCAGGGAGGACGGCTGACGGTCCCCCCCTCCCCACAGTGTGTTCTACGTCTTCTACGAGCAGTACCTGACCATCATAGAAGACACCGTCTTCAACCTCTGCGTGTCCCTGGGGGCCATCTTCCTGGTGACCGTGGTGCTGCTGGGCTGCGAGCTGTGGTCTGCGGTGATCATGTGTGTCACCATCGCCATGATCCTGGTCAACATGTTTGGTGTCATGTGGCTGTGGGGCATCAGCCTGAACGCGGTCTCCCTGGTCAACCTGGTCATGGTGAGTCCTGGGTCACTTCCTGGGGCCCGTTTCCAGGAGAGACGGCCCAGCTCTCATCTCCCTGCACATGGAGGCGGGGCCACAGGCGGGCGAGTGGGACTGGACGTCACGTGCACCAGTGGCGTGTGATGTCACGGCCTAGCGTGGCAGGTGTTCTGCCTTTATTATTCTGTACGGTTTGCAAAAACAGCCTAATGATGGCAACAAGGTCACTTCTTATTTAGAAATATTGCCCCCTCCTTGGTGGAATTCTCGGACCAATACCTTTTGCTTCCCATAGTTAATAATTAATTAGTCTTGATGCTAGGAGCGTTCAAGCAGGTATTAACAGAAAGTAGCAGTAGTCCATGTTCTTCAGATGTGGCCAGTGCGTCAGGCGGAGCGGCCCGTGCAGGGCGTGGGGGGTGCCCGCTTCCCGAGACAAGCAGACATGCTGTATGATCCGGGGCGCTGGGCGCCTCCGAGGGTCCCACCAGTCCCCAGGGCATTCAGGCTGGTGTCACGGGGCTTCTCAGTGCTCGTCCGCGCAGGTTCTTAGGGTCCTCCCCCGGGTGCCCTGGGAAGGGGTGGCTGCCTGTGGTTTCAGCCAGAAACGGCGGGTGGTAAAGGAGGCACTTCCTTGCAGAGCTGCGGCATCTCGGTGGAGTTCTGCTCCCACATCACCAGGGCCTTCACAGTGAGCGCGAAGGGCAGCCGCGTGGCGCGTGCAGAGGAGGCGCTCTCCCACATGGGCAGCTCCGTGAGTAACGGGGGGGTCAGTGTGGACTGAGCACTCGGCCAGCCAGTGCTCAGGAGGAATCTGCATCCTCTGCTTAGCAGCAGCTCCTGGGTGACGAGGTTCCAGGCAGTTCATGAAATAGCTGTACCCGGCTTCTCTACCACGTTCCTGTGGGTGAAAGCTCTTGGGGCGGCCGGGTGGCCGAAGCAGGAAGAACAGGTGGATGTGAGCGAGCAGGAGCCTTTGCCACGAGCCCAGGCCAGCGATGGGCGGGCAGCAGGGTCCAGTGAGCGGTCTGTCCTGTGTCTGCAGACTCTCATCCCACACCCTGGTTTAACCCATCAACCACTTGTTACTGAAGAGGGACTGTTACCGAGTAACACAAACCTGTTTTGTAACCATTTTATACTTAAACTGGTTTTCAACGGAAAATATTAAGAAATGCGTGAATAGTGTCTATGCAGAAACATAGCTTTTTCCCTTGTACCACTGTCTTTGTTCCAAGCTCACAAGCAGTACATAAAGCATTTTAAGTTGCACATCATGTACTTAGCAGGAACTCTGAAAGCTGGGCCTCAGGCCCCCATGACTTTTGACCTTGACTGTTAAGAAGTCCCTGTATGAGGAAATGTGCACTTATGATTGGGGACTAGAGCAGGTCTAACACCCTCTCTTTTTCAGGTATTCAGTGGAATCACACTTACAAAATTTGGAGGGATTGTGGTGTTGGCCTTTGCCAAGTCTCAGATCTTCCAGATATTTTACTTCAGGATGTACCTAGCTATGGTCTTGCTGGGAGCCGCGCACGGGCTGGTCTTCCTTCCTGTCCTCCTCAGCTACATAGGTGAGCTGTCTGACCTCAGTGAGGGGTGGGAAGCCTGCGGCCACAGGAGACAGGTGCCTAAAGCAGCTCTGAAGGATTTGAACTGTGCTGATGGGTCATTTACAAGTGGGACTGAGTGAGCGGTCTCAGAAGACTCATGTCCCCGCACCTCAGTGCACGGCCAACACTGCCTGGGCGGCCGGCCTGGCTGAACAGGCCCTGAGGGCCGGCCGAGAGCGAGTTTGAATGTCGGCCCAGGCAGCGCCGCCTCCACTGAGACGCGTGGCCACAGCCCGCAGTGCGGCTGAGCAGTGTCCCCAGCTCTGGTCCAGCAACAGGCCTCTGCCGCCCCCTCACTTCCATCCGTCCTGAGGATGCTCTTTGGCTGCCATGACGACTCATGGTTGAAAGAACAGGACTGATTTGCTTGATTGGTAGCAGGGATGGGGAACGTCGGGCGTGAGGGCCGTATAAGGCATTATAATGCCTCTGCCAAGGCATTAGGGGCAAGTTAATTGTCTGACCAAGCCAGCCAGCATGGCTCAGTGGTTGAGCATCAACCTATGAACCAGGAGGTCACAGTTGAACTCCCAGTCAGGGCACATGCCTGGGTTGTGGGCTTGATCCCTAGTAGACTGATGTTTCTCTCTCTCCCTCTCCGAAATAAAAATAATATACATTTAAATGCTAATTTTTAAGTTGATAATTTTGTATGGCCCACAAATGATGTTACAAATATCCAAATGGCCCTTGGCAGAGAAAAGTTCCAAACCCAATTTATAGCTTTGTAACCAAGTGGAAGCATTGAAATAGATGGAGAAACCTCCTAAAGAAATGACACAGCTTCTTTCTCCTTCCCAGGACCATCCGTAAATAAAGCCAAAAGCCTGGCCACGCAACAGCGACACAGAGGCACAGAGAGAGAGCAGCTCAATTTCTAGCCCCTCACGGGGCCTGGGGCTTGGAACTGTGTCTGCGGGTCGGTCAGTTCCCTGGTGGAAGGAGCTGCGTTGTCAGGTTAAGTTGAACACCGGACGTCACCAGACTCAGGCGATGGATCTGACAGCAGCCGCTCTGGCCACGCGCCTGTCCACTCAGGAATGTGTTACTAACCCTGGAGGCAGCCCTGGACGCGTCTCCAGTTCTCCCGGCATGAAACCCGACTCTCAGCGAGGGAAGGTTGACACTGGACGCTGTGGAGGCGCTCGGCTCCCTGGCCGTCATGAAGGCCAATCAGTGCAATACTGCTCCTTTTTGAGGAGTGAGCCACCACACAAATTCCACCGCATTTTTAGTAACATTTGAGGATGTTGCAGGTACTTTATTATAGTATTTTGTAGTTTAAAGAGCTTTATTAATGCAATAAATTAACTTTATACATTTTATATATATAAAAACGAGCGTGTGATTTCAGAGCGTCGTAGGCCTCATGAGAGCTTGGTCTCCAAAAACCTGTTTGAAAAAAGCCACGTGCTCTTCGCAGTGTTCTCCTGGGGGCACAGAGGGAAGCAGGGTGAGCACAGCTGCTCCCAGGTGCTGGGTCTAACTCTCTCCCATAAGCACTCTGTCCTCAGCTTCTGGACTGTCCTTTCCGTTCTCAGAGCTCACGCCCCTGCACACCTGGTCAGGGCCCTCACTGCCCCCAGCAACCACGGTGGGGCTGACCCGTTGTCCAAGTGCCCTGACTCCGAGCTGGCAGAGCTGGGAGACCTGCAATAAGGTTGCCTGCTCCTCCCCACCTTGGATCCCATGCCTTTGGACAGCAGATGACTTGCCCATGTTTCCTGCCTGACCCAGAAACATTAATAAGCCCAGGCCCCTTTAAAGCCTCAGGCACCGGTTCCTGTCCAAGAGCAGCTGTCAGACCTGAGCTGGCTCAGACCCTGGATCGGCCTGCATATGCTTCTCCCCCCCAAACACTTCCAGTTCCGGATCAGTTAGGTCCCCGGGCACACGGAGTTCACTCCACTACGAATGACGGGCTGAGGGCGAGGCTGGCTGTTGTGACTATTTAAAACCGAACTCAGGAGTTCTAACCGAGGGCTCCTGGCCCACCCGCTGCCGGGGTCGTCCTGCCAGGAGCCTGCAGCTGCCCAGGCCTACTCACGGCTGCGCCTCTCACCTGGGGTGAAACTGGGGTTCCCCCGTAAGCGCTGGTTCCGCTGCTCGAAGAAGCGGAAGATGGTGTAGAAGAGCATGCGGTCTTCGGTCTGCTTCGCAGCATCCAGGAACTTGCGTGCAGAGACGCTGTCGTGGCCCCCAACGCCCCGGAGGAAGCGCAAGGCGGCCAGCACCTGGTGCTTGGACAGCAGCACTTCCACGATCTCATCGTTCGCCGTCGAGAGGCGCTGGAGAGAAGCCCGAGTGAGCGCCAGCACAGCAGACGCTTACGCCCCGGAAACATGGATGCACCTTACCTTCAACATATCCAGCGACAGCTGGTGAGCAGGAGGGTAGAAGCTCTCCAGGGATAACAGCAGACACGCCTGAAAGACAGGTTTCCGGCCTATTCAGCACAAGGTGCTGGACGCTGTTAACAACAGAGTAACCCTGGCGGCACCCACCAGAGGCTTGGAGTCGCTGAGCACGTGGTACTGCAGGAGCTGGTGCAGCGTGTAGAACAGGTTGTGCTGGACCAGCGTCTTGATGACGAGCTCGTGCAGGTAGTGCTACGGCAGACAAGGAGACAGGGCTCAGGTGTGGCGGGGCTGCAGCTGCTCTAACTGATGAGCTCCCGTCACTGAAGGGGCCCGTGTGCGGGGGAAGAGCCCAGCCTCTATGACAGGGCTCATCCTGACTCAGCACCACGTGGCGGGTCAGGAAATGGCTGGGACGCTGAGTCAGGACAGCGGGCCCTTAGCACGTAGACGGCATCGTAGTCAGTCTAGGGACAGTGCTGCTGCCTTAGCGATCCCTGCTCCTCTGACCCGGAGGTACCTGCACTGGAACCTGGAACTGGTTGAGAGAGCGAATGTACTCCATCAGCACGGCGATCACAAACTTGGGGGGCGTCTCCTGGGAGAAAGCAAAGGTGGTCTTAGGAGCTGCAGGAGCTCCCGTGGAATTCTTCCTTTATTCCTGCCCCTTTGCCCTATTAAACTGGCCCAGGGCTGTGTGGCAGGTTTTGCACAAACCCCCTCAGATTCTCCCTCCTCAAGAACATGTTTAGTCCTGAGTGTTAGAGGCCAAACTACCAGCATAGGTCCTCACCAGAATACCAGCCATTCTGAGTCCGAGTTTCCCTCAAGTCCCTCCAAGGATCTGTTCTGAGAGCCTTTGTCCAGAGCAGCTGACGGCAGTCACTCACCTTCTTCTCCGTCAGCGCCGACAGCACGTGGGTGTACATGTCGGACTGGTCGATGACGGCCTGGGTCCGCACCGGCCTGCGGAGGAGCGGGCTGCACCGGCTCTGCCCAGCTTCCGCCGCCTGCGCAACACATTACAGGTGTCACCGTCACCACCTCCAGGTAACGGCGTTTGCAGTTAATCCAAAAAGACGGAACTCCGAGATGCTGTGAGCCTCAAGCCTGAGCAGGGGTGACACAGGTCACAACTGGGACGGAGCTACTTCCTGTGCTCTCTGGGCAGAGTCTACTCGAGAAACAAGTCAGTTGGTCTTGACAAAACCCATGTTCACGGTGGATGGAGCTACCAGCATAAGCATCGTCTTCTCTTAAGGGACAGCATCCTGTTTTTAACCCCTTACCGACTCCCTAATTTTCTCAATCACAGTCGACCTGGCCCTTGTTATCTAATAAAAATGAAATGGCACCTGTGCTTTATGAAGCCTTAATCTCAAAGGACACACTTGTGTAATGAGTCTATGCCTAGACTTTGAATAAGTAAGGCTCCCCAACTACTACTGCCTAGGAAAGCTCCGAGATCGACTCCATCGCCTAAGTTCAGAGAGGAAGGGAAAGGGAGAGAGAGAAACATCAGTGATGAGAGAGAATCACTGATCACTGCCTCCTGTTGCACCCTACTGGGGATTGAGCCCACAACCAGGGCATGTGCCTTTGACCGGAATTGAACCCTGGGCCCTTCAGTCCACAGGCCGATGCTCTATCCGCTGAGCCAAACCTGCAAGGGCGTCTCCTAAGTTCTAAAGCCCGAGACCAGTGCAGACCCCGAGGGCAGGAGCTGGGCGGTGCCCGAGAGCCCGCAGTGCTCAGCAGGGCCAGGTGCTGCAGGGCTGCAGACGGGCCACACTCCACCAGCCAGCGCTTAGGAAGCCAAGAGCCACAGAGCAGGACGCACAGAAACTGCCACCAGACTGCCGACACCCAGAGCAGCAGGCGAGAGAAGGAGGGAGACGAGCTCAGCCTCCCCACCTGGCGGAACCGTGTCTGACGGGCAGGACCCACAGCTCCGAGCCTCGGCCACTCCATCCTGTTGTCACTGAAGGGGGGTGGGGTGCTGGCCTTTCTGTTACTGCTTAGGACCTTCCATTTTCAGCTTGAGGACTAACTAGGTTCTTTAAGTGAAATCACTCATTCCACTTATCCTAACCCCTTTTCTGTCTGGCTTCAGAAGACGGGTGCACTAACGTTATGTAGGAGAGGGAGAAAGACATGGCAAATGGTTCTACTTTTAATTAACTAAGACTAGGCTCTGGCTTGGTAGAAACATGTATAAAAAAGTAATGCCAAGACGAGACCAATTTTATCTATAAAATAGAAGACCAAGGATCTATCTACATCTAAGATCCAACAGATGAAACCACAGAAGAGGGGGAGGCGTTGAGGGAGATGGAGCCTCCCGCCAATGGGATGCCATTTACTGCCCCAAAGTACAACTACCAGGTGGGGGCGGAGGAGCCTCCAGCACAGCGCCCGTCACTCACCGCCGCGTAGCTCTGCTCGGCGTCCAGGTACCTCTTGTACTCCTGGTTGAGCTTGTCGAAGACAGTGGCTACCACGGGCAGGGCCGCTCTGTCCGACCCGCTCAGCACTGGGAAGAATCCATGTGCACAGGTCAGCCAGCTCCGCCTGCAGCGCACGCTGCCAGGGCAGAAGCACTCCCCCCAGGCCAGCAGCACACACGTGCCTTAAGGGCACCCAGAGGAGCGTCCAGCGTGGAGACCTGAAGCCTGGAGCTCACAGGCCCTTTCTGGCTCCTGGAGAGAGTAGCTGTGACCGTATCAGTGAGATTCTCAATGTAGATGTTAGGGAGGCAGAGACTTGGATTCTGAAAAATGTTTGCTTTAAAAGGAGGGGCGGGAGCCCCGACCCCCACGTGCGCCCAGGCTCAGACTCGCTTTCACCTGGAACCATCGGTTTACTCTCTGGTCTTTCTACCCAAGTCCCCACACGGCATATCCATCCACTGATTTCAGAGAGGGAGGGAGACAGAAACATCACTGATTGGGAGGCAGCCCCCTGACAGGGAGTCCAACTGTGACCTCCTGGCTCATAGGTCGACGCTCAACCACTGAGCCACACCAGCCAGGCACTACAAGTCCTTTTTCTATTTAGCAGCCTTTCCAGGGGCGTAAGTCACCCACCCTTCAAGTGAAGAGTGGGCCACAGGCTGCAGACAGGCCTGGGAAGGTGGGGCACAGGCTGGACTCAGACGACAGGAAGGAGCCCCCCTTACTCTGGGAGCAGACGGCCAGGATGACCATCTTGCACTCCTTTCTCTGGAGGAGAAAGTCCATCAGGCGTCCTTTGTCTGGCAGGAGGTTGACGATGGGCTGCAGCTTCACCTGCAGGTTCCAGAGGTAACCTGGGTTCGAGAGGCAGCGATGTCATCGTATGACGCGAACCAGAACAAAAACCCAAAAGTACTGCACAGCAGTCGATGGCTTTTTCTCACAAACCGAAGCCCAGTCTAGGACATGCTGACATGCTGACAACAGGACTGACGGCCAAACTACTGCGTGCCCGGGAGACACCTGGCAACCACGCACCCTCTATGTTCAAGCTGCATCTCCCCAAATCGGGGGCAACAGGCACTCTCCCCTCTGACCCACCTTGGCTTGCGCTGATGATGATGTCAGGCTGAAAGACGATCCAGGACGAGGAATCTGCAGGAAATTCTATAGGAAATTCTAGCCCCGAAGTGATGGCAACAAAAGGCAAACCCGCTGATTAAACTCGCCCCCACCCGTTGGCTGAGGCTACGCCAAGTGCCCGTCCCTCCTGGTAGGAAACCTCCCCATTCGGTTCCTGAAACGTCATTCCCTCTCAGACAGGAGGGTAGCGGGAGGAGCTCCCTGCACAGCGCCAGCGCCTCTGTCAAGGATACAGAGCTTACACGGGACCGGAGACTGGCTGGTCACAGGAGCAGGACCTACACAGGGAGAAAATGTAAGTGTGCGGCCAACACATACTCAACATGTACCACTTCTAAAAGCCTGCAGCAACTGTGTGTAGTGACACGAGGA